TTGAAGAAGAAACTGACTGTGGATTGGTGTAATCCGGTTTGAGCTTTCTTTGTTTCTTCTTTTAAATTTCTATTCATTCATTTGTACTGTTTTGTACCTGGAATTTGGGTACAAGTTTTCTGCAGCTGTTGTAGAAAGTTGCCAAGAACTGGAATTTGGTTCTTGGTGGAAAGGTTAAAGCAAGAGCTGGAATTTGGTTCTTGTGTGTGGTGCCTGGAATTTGGGCACTGGTTTCTCTGCGGCTGGAATTTGGTTGCAGAGGTTTCCAAGAGCTGGAATTTGGTTCTTGGTGGAGAGTTAGAATAGGTGTAAGAGGGTGAGTCTGTAAAACATCTATTCTAGTGGAACCCAGCTGGAATTTGGCTGGAGTCTGGACGTAGCCCTGGTATTGGGTGAACCAGTATAAAATTACCGGTGAAATCTTTCCTAACCTTTCTCTCTTTAATTTCTGCTGCTGCACTTAAACTGTTTGATTGCTTTGTGATTTGTGAATTGATAAGTAATCTTAATTTTCGAATTAGATAATCTGTGTATTGCGAAAAACTTTCAAAAATCAATTCACCCCCCCTCTTGATTTAAAACTACTTTTCTAACAATGAATAGTTAATGCATTCATAATCATGGTAGTTAGTGGAAATCATGTCTATAAAATGTTTGTACTATGTGTTGAGTCTAAGTCAGAGATGTTGGTCATCTAAAAATAGGGTATTATGTCTATAGTGATATGGTCTGTATGATGTAGAGTTTGTTCCTACCAAATATATTGTTGTTAAAGAGTTGGTGGTGTCACTCAGTGACGAGATATGTGTGTGGATGGTACGGAGATACACCGGGGGCTTAGGAGATAAGAGAAGATCAGATTGATCTTGGGGAAATATAGAGTGCATTGTTTGGCCACGCTCTATACTCCCGACTTGACTCTTTGACTTTGCCTTTTTGCCAAGGGATCGTTATGCGTAAGCATTGTATCTGTGATGCGCAGATCAACCGGCAACTATCTATACTTCTGTGAGTCATTTATTCTCGTGTGTAATTTTGTTATGTTTGTGAGAGTTGTCTGTACTTATGTGTGATCCTTTCATGGATTGAAAGATGGGATTGATAGTGTATCCTAGGTGCATGAGCATTTCAAATTTGGCAAAAATGAACGAATGAAACACAAACATGTATTGTGTGTTTTTAGTTTGAGTAATGTGATTTGTGGAAATTGTTTGAAATTTCTGTGTGGGATACTTTATTGAAAAAAATGAAATGTTTGACTATAAATGTTACATATGGTTTTAGATTGTAGAGGTTGAAAAAAATTTCGGTTTAGTGTTCTGGAGTGATGAGAAAAGGAAACTCATCCTTACTGTTATATTTCAGGTAATGATGGAACAATTGTGGTGGAGGAACCACAGTTTGATTGAGTATCATATACATATGTATGGAAGAATGCTGCCTTCCGGGAGGGGTATGATCTTGTATAAGAAAGTTAGGAATTTTGGGTACCTGCTCTGATTAGGATTTGCTTTATTTTGAGATGTATAAATTTAAAATTAAATTCTAATCGTTTAAGGGTACAAACTTTATGTAATTATAGTATGATCCTTGTTGGATTAGTTATTTTGAAAAACAATGTATTATGATTATGGATGTATATGTATGAATATGTTCGACACATCTATATATATTCATTAACGCATGATCAGTTTTAAAGTTCATTGTCATAAAGAAATAATATTGTAAAAAAAAATTATTCCCATTTTTGAGAAATTAAATAAATTAGAAGAAAAAAAAATGACGTTACACCTATTATGGTGGAGTTACGTGAAGAAGTTTGCGACAACCACATAGGTGGGAGAGCCTTAGCAACAAAGGTATTAAGGGTTGGGTATTATTGGCCAACGCTCCGAAAAGATTGTGCAGCATACGCGAAGTTGCCACCTATGTCAATTGCATGCAGAGATGCCTACGACTCCCCCTGAATAGTTACATACTATCATATCACCGTGGCCATTTCATATGTAGGGACTGGACATATTAGGTCCTTTCCCGATATTCGTTTGGCAAGCCAAATTTCTCGTAATTGGCATTGACTACTTCACCAAGTGGATTTAGGCTAAACAACGACAATGATTTTAGCGGAGCGGATTCAGAACTTCATTTGGAGAGTAATTATATGTCAATATGGGGTCCCACACACCAGTGTCACCAACAATGACACCTAATTCACTAGCAAACTCGTGGAGCAGCTATGTGACCAGTTCCACATACACCATACCTTTTCCTCTGTCGAACATCGGCAAACAAATGGGCAGGCCAAAGCAACAAATAAGGTCATCTTGAGAGGCCTAAAACACAGGTTAAGTGAAAGGAAAACATTGTGGGCATCGGAATTTCCTAGCATGTTATGGTCGTACCATACCACAGTCCAAACAATAATGAAGGAAATGCCATTAAATCTGGTATATGAGGCAGACATTATGCTTCCCACTGAAGTAATAAAACCTACAAAATAGGTGATTGGATTCTCAAGGAAGGCAGCTCACACGCAGCACAAGCAAGCCTTGATAGTATCGAAGAAATGCAAGAACAAGTCCACATCCGCACCAAGGTAGCAAAACATCGTGCCACACTGTTGTTTTCCATGAGGGTTCGCCCTAGAGAGTTTCGCGTGTTCGACTTGGTGTTGCGATGTGCTCAACCAAACCAAATACATAACAAACTCTCCGCTCAATGGGTAGGACCTTAGCGGATAGCTGAAGTTATTGGAAAGAGAGCATATAAGCTTGAGACACCTAGTTGAAGACCGATTCCCAGAACATGGAACACAACCAGCCTATGTTTCTACTACAGTTAAATTTTTTATTATTGCATTTATTTTTCAATTAAATATCATATATTGCGTACCTGACACGTTGTTTTGTTCTTTGTTTTTCAATTCTTTGAGGTTTTTTCTTCCCCCTGAAGATTTTTCCTCCAAGAAAGATCAATAAAAGAATATTTTCTCCTAAAATTCGCCAAACGATTAAAAATCCTACAACGACAAAGGACCATGCTCAAGGTTAAAAAAACACGACATCGACAAGCAGCAAAAGCAAATGATGAACGTCTATTTGAGATCGAAAATTCTATGGCAACGAACAACCATTTGAGGTCCGAAAATCTACAGCGACTAACGCCCATTTAAGGTCGGAAACTCTACAACGAAAAACAACCATTTGAGATCGAAAACTTGATAGCGACGAACAACCATTTTATGGTCAGAAATTCTACAACGACGAATGACCATTTTATGGTCAGAAATTCTACAGCGATGAACAACCATTTTAAGGTCAGAAACTCGACAGCGACAAACGACCATTTTATAATTGGAAATTCTACAACAACGAATGATCATTTACAGTTGAAAACTTTACACTAACGAATGACCATTTTATGGTTGGAAACTCTACAAGCGACGAGCGACCATTTAAGGTTGGAAACTCTACCGTGAAGGTCTACAAGTCGGCCCTAAGAGGTCGGTCTATAAGTCGACCTAAGAGGTCGACCTATAAGTTGGCCCTGAGAGGTCGGTCCATTAAGCGACCCCAAGAGGTCGATCAACAAGTCGACCCCAAGCGGTCGATTACAAGTCGACCCTAAGAGATTGGTTCATAAGTCGGTCCTAAGAGGTCGGTCCATTAGGCGACCCCAAGAGGTCAGTCTACAAGTCGGCATTAAGAGATCGTTCAACAAATTGACCCTAAGCGATCAGTTACAAGGCAGTCCTAAGAGGTCAATATATAAATTGACCCGGTGAGGTCGGTCTACATGTCAACCTCAAGAGGTTAAAATACTTTACAGTGGCAGATAAGAGGTCGGTATTTAGTCGATCATCTGTTATTTAATCGAACATATATTGTCTCAATTATCTCATCCTATGACTCATAAAGCCTCAACTTTTAATACTCGAGGTTGGGGGTTGTGTAGTATCCAAATCCCCCAACCTATGTAAACAGACCAAAGACGAGACCTTATCATAATTAGGTACATAAAACTTCAATGTTTAACACTTGAGATTGGGGATTGTGTAGTACCTAAGATTCGATCCCTGTACAGGGACCAGGTCTTGACCCGTTTAGATATGGAGCCTAAATATCTATTTTAAACGGATACTATAGGAGGTCTCAGCCAAAAATCGAACAAAAATACAAAAAGAATATTAAAATTTAATGGACGAGCAATATTTTACAACAACAATAATATACACCATAAGTTTTATTTAACATTAGATCTTGTATTTATAATTATGATAACACATAAATTTAAATTGTATTATTTATTAGAATATTAAAAATAAATAATAATTATTTTATTTTAAAGAGATCAATTAATAGTTTGAAATTATGATATAAAAGTATTGTAAAATTAAAAAAAAAATCAATTAAAAAAATTATGTATAATTTTAATGAAAAATTGACATTTACACATAATTTATATTATATCGATAATTATTTAATTTGTTATCTTTTATTTACTAATCACTCATTTTATTTTATCTTGATCTTATTTTATCATATCCTCTTGTATTATATTTTTTTTATTCTATAATGTTATATATTACCGGATTAGTCATTCATTTGTATGTACTAAGCAAATTTATTTTAAACAATTATCATTACGTTGATTTTATTTAAAATATCAAAAAATTGATTTCTCAATGATTTTTCACAAATAAAACAAATCGCAAAAATTATTACAAATAAAGTTGTCTCTTTTAATTAGACTTCAATTATTTTGGCTTGAACTTTGCTTTAACAATTCAAAATGACTCCTAACATACCATATATTAACTTTTTTAACAATTATATGTGTTTTTCTTCACCTTTTACTTATTTATTAATTTTATCCTAAAATAAGATGGTATGAGGAAGTATTAAGTTAAAAAAAAATGCAACTAAGTCAGATATATATATATATATATATATATATGTGTGTGTGTGTTCGATTCTCAGAAGTTCGGAGGTTCTCACACAATGGCGAAGGCTCGAAGTGCTGAGAAAGCCGCGCAAGCAGATGCGGAGGACAGTCGCGATGGCCTCGAAATTATCTCCATCGGCTCCCTCTACAAAGGATCCTGGGACAAGAAGTATTGGACCACCTCTAGGGTTTGATTCCATTCTCCGCAATTTCGACAATCGATTCGTGTTTTTTTGTCTGATAGTAACCATCTTCCACCAATTATTTATGGATTACTCTTAAAACGGCGTTGCCATATAGGTTGCTTCAATTTTACACACTGTACGGTGGAATTGTCTGTTTTTGCTCACCTTTTGCAATTTAATTGAACTTTGAAGAATTACGTATTTTTTGTTTCGTCTTCTTTTGAATTGGATAAAGAAATAAATATTGCCGAATTGGTCTCTTCTTGATTTGGGGAGCTATTTGAGAGAAGGGCAGAGCGGGAAACGGAACTCTGCCTTGAATGTGTGAGACAGTGGAACCTCGGATTTATGATTTATTATGTATGTAGTAGTCTTGTAGAGATCATTGAGTGATGATGATCTGTGGCCTTTGCATCCTATGGGTGTTTGTCACGTTTCAAGGGGTGATTATTTGACGGGTCAATAGCTGTGGCAAAACTTATGTAATGCCTTTATAGAAAAAGAGAAGAAACAGAAGGGAAACGAATGCAGAAATATTAAATATCATTGTGTGGGAGTAACACTTTGTTTTGATTTGTTCTTCTCTGCTGACTGATGTAATAAAATGCCATTGACTACATTGCAGGGAAAAGATCGGTATCCATATCCTGTTGGTTATCAAGCTTTTAGAGCATATAATGGGGCCACTTATAAGATGGAAATTTGTGAAGGTGTCAATGGCCCTAGATTTTTGGTTCGTACATGGGCTTCTATGTGTTTTATTTATGTTTTAACCTTTGATTCCATGTCTAAAAGTTCGTTGATTGCTTTGGGTTTTACTAAACAAATTCAGTTGTGTACTGTAAATGCAGATTTCTTCTGACGATGGAAGTTCATCTTCTGGGAAAACTCCTGACCAAGCATGGGAGGAATTTCAGAAGAAAGGCTGCCCCCGCATCAAGATTTGGCATGGGAAGAGACTTTCATCTAAGATGGATGGCTTGGAGGTAGAAATCTGCGATGTTGACAAAATCATTTTGTAAAAGTTCAGATTTATCTCATTTTCCCAGAAATTTCCCTTTTTGTCTTGTTGTATGTTACCAAGTTTTTTACTAGCTTTAATATGATATTTTATGCTTACTATGTTTTCTGCTTCTTATATCTTACCCTAGCCAATCATGAACGAACTAGATTCTTCATCTACAATGATATCATTGTTGATTTTTAAAAGATACTAAGAAACAACTAGGTCAGACATTGATAGGGATATAAAGTTTGAGGCTTTAAATGTTAAAATATAGAACTTTCTGTGGACTATGATAAACTTTCTCATCAAGAAAGTTTAGAGTGAGTAACCAGTAGCATGCTGTTTCCCCTGCATTTTTTTTTTTTTTTGACAATTTATGCTATCAAACAAGTCATAGGTACTATGCATGCAATGCAGAGTAACTGGGACATTTCTTTATTTAATGAATTTAGTTTTAAAGAAACAACTTTACATTGCTAGCAACTCAACTATTTTGTCTCAACAAGTAAACTTCATTTTAGAGATAAAATCATTCATAAGTTTCCCCTTACAGCTTAAGCTTTTAGAAAACTCTTGATATGGTTTGAGAGACTTCCACACCATGCCTCTTAGTTGCAAATAAAATACTTGTGTGGATCATGATCCATCATAACAGCGTTCTCCTTGGGCTTCTAGAGGCATAAAACACAGGCAACCTGTGTAGCAAGGGATATTGAAGGTGATCGGATTTTAGGATCCAAATGCCTGGTGTGGAATTTGGGTTCCATAGTGAAAGAATGGGATTCTGATAGGGAGTTTTTTATGACATTTGATTCTCCAATCTTGATGACTAGGTTTTGGGTTTACTTCTCTCAAGGTTTGTATAACTAATGTATAAGGCTCTAGTGGTTAGGAGTTTAATTCTTGCCTCCCCTATCCTTTAAACTGAAGTTGAAATTTTTGCATAACATCAAGCTAGAGTGTGTGTTAAAGATAAAACCAACCATGACCTTCTATTAACAACATAAGCATATACTTCAACCATTATTTTCTGGTTCTGCTCCTTGTCTGTCCCTTTTCCTATTTCTATTATTTTTTATTTAGGAATTTGGATGAATAACATTTCTTCACTTGACATTTGGATGGAAATGATTGGTATAGACAGATGTAATTAAAATTGTTTCTGACTAACCACAAAGTTTTGTTGATTCTTATCCCCTTTTTGTGCTATGTTTTTTTTTTGTGTGGAAATAACAGTTTTGATTTGTTCCAAGTGACTATATAATGGAGGAGGTGGATTCTTAAGCACTTGTGAACTTGCTGCATAACAATCTCTTTTTAAGATTCTAAGTGTTAAAATTGTAACATTACTTTGTCTTATAAATCATTAATATCAAATTTCTTGAATAGTATCCTATTAAAACTGTCAAAACAATGTTACTCTTTGTGTATTTTAGGAAGTTTTATATTTTATCCTTTCTGTTATTTATTTCTTTATTACATTCGTATTTTGCTAATTAATACTAGGATTATGTATTTAGAAACAATCCCATAATCACAGGGATTTGTTAGAATTAACTGTACATATTTCCTAAAGTAACCACCAGGCTCATGTATTTATAGATCCAATGACCTCATAATTGATACAATAAAGTAGAATATTATTCCTTCTAAATTTGAGAAAAACTATTAAATTTCTGGACTCAAATTTCGGTTGGTAGTGTTGTATTGTTATAATCAATGCTTAAGCATCATAACTAGATTGCTTATAATACTTTTCCAGGTCAAAACAAAGATATCATCCGACGCTTTTCTTTGGTCGTGTTTGCTAATTTAGTTGCAATTTTTATTTAGTATATTCCTTCTACTTTAGGGTTAGTCAATTGTGAACGAAGGAAGTAGGTTTTGATGCTTGGCCCTGTGACTTTCATGCTATTATCTTGTAGCTTCTAGCCACATCTTTTTCTCAGACCTTACACATGATTCATAAACTCACCTATAATACCACAGGCCTTGAGAATTATTACCAAAATGCAGCTTACTGTTATCAACTGAAAGTTTGTCAATCCAATGTGCAACTATGCAAGAACGACCACTTATCTAATGTTAAAGTTATGTCTTTGTAATTTGTGCTTCAAAACATTTCTTTTTTAAGTGATAAAGTTTTTCTTTTACTTGTCTTTGGTTCTGTTCATAGTTTCTTTAACAAATCTTCTAGTTCTGGGATATATGCAGTGAAATTTGGAAAGCTTTATCATAGTAACGACCTTGCTTACTTTCGCTGTTTCCTCTCTTTTGTTAGTGAGGATATGTTATTCTCTTCTCTTCTTGAAACCGTTCCTTTTTCTCTTAAGTAAGCTTTGTTTTTTATAAAGTGATCTAAACCTGTGGAATTTGTCTAGGATTTACAACTAGTCTGTGTTCATCAATCTCATAATTCTCCTTTTCTCTTTTTGTCCCTGTATTTCACAATGACGCAACTGTTGTTGTATAGTATACTTTGAAATATAGCTGCCCATTGTGCTTAATATGTCTTATTCTATTTTCATCACATGCAGCTTTTTGGGTTCAAAAATCAGTTTATCCAGAGGCTGCTCCGGGAATTGGTGACAAATGTAAATGGAATAGCAGAACGGAGCTTGGTATCCCCAAACACCTGTGACGGAGTTACTAGAACAGATCGTGATGATTGCTGCCCAAATGTTGGGGCATGTCCTGATTTACTACTTGGCCTCGGAAAACCACATGCTACAAGGAAGAGAAGCAGATGTCAAGTTAAAAACAAAAAATTAAATGTACGAGCTAGACCCTCAAATGTAAAGAATGAGGAGAGTCGTGGTCAGGGGAATTCAGAAGTGCATGAGGTCGACAGTCAAATTGGTGTGCCAGTCCCCTTGCAAAGGACATCTTCCGTTTGTAAAAGCCATAATTGCATTTCATCCAAAAATGAGTTCCTGTTGAATCCTCATGAAATATATGATGATAAAGAAGTGAGAGATGCACCATCTAAAGGATCGGCTGGTTTTGTCTATTCTGAAAGTTGCAAACCTAAAGAACTAACTGAAAACTTGTCCATAGAAGAACCCGTAAGTATACCCTTGAAATTGTAATATTCTATTGAATAATATTCATTGGAGACATGTTGCTTCATAAACACAATCTATTGCATGGTTGTCATTGAAGACATGTTCTTTACTTAAATTTCTTGATCTTGATAAACTCAAAAGTATAAATACTTAGAAGTAATATATTTTAATTTTTACAGGTCATTTATTTTGTCTCGTGCTTGAGATATTTTAGATTCAGTTAAAAATTTTCCAGTGATTGTGTACAAATCAAAATTTAATGGTCTATTTTGTTATGGAAGAAAATATCTTAACTTCTTGCAGCTTCATAGGTCGCATGATGTGGAGTTGAAGATATCTAATTTGTTCGTGACATCAGAAGACAGGAAACTAATGCAGTCATATTCTAAAGAGTCTGTAGGTTGTGTTGGGATTGATCTTCGTGCTCCTGATACCCTAGATTTTGTGCATGGTACTTTTATTTTATTCGTAATGCAAAAGCTATTACCTTTCACTTTTAATGATTTTCAACACTTGTAATCTTGCATCCTCTTGCTCGTTTCATTTGTTGATGGATTGAAAGACTTCTTGGCTACGATGTTAACATACTCATAGTTATTTGAATTTTCTATAATGTTTGGAGTTTATAACAAGTTTTGAACATTTTCAATTTTGCTTATCAAAGGTTTGCTTAATAACTTTGGCATTATTGAATAATGTTGAAAGTCCCACATCGTCTACCTCATGTTATTTGGTATAGTTTAAATACATGTTAGGCTAATCCACATATTGCCAATTGGTTCTATGTTGGAACCTTAACATGGTATCAGAGTCAAAGCCTAATATTTTTCCCGTTATCCAGGCTTCGTTGGAGGGGGCATGTTGGAAATCCCACATCGCCTACCTCATGTTATTTGGTATGGTTTAAATACATGTTAGGCTACTCCACATATTGCCAATTGGTTTTATGTTGGTACCTTAACAAATAGTGATATTGTCAAATATATGACATTTGTGGATTCCACTAATTTTTTAATCAAAATGAAAGAATGTTATTGCATCACTATATAGGTTACAATCATAACTAGGTTAGCACTACAACATGTACCAATCATGTGCAACATTCTTAATACAATTAAAAGAAAAAGATATACAAAATTTTGGAGACCAAACCAAACCCACTTAGAGAATCTAAAATATGGGAGACAACATTGATCTCTACAAAAGTTTGTACACTTATTTCCCTGTCTAAAAGTGCACGAAAATTTAAAATATACATCCTTAATGGACCCCAAAACATTGTTCCATTTTTTTCTTAACATCCAAGCACTAAAGAAATATCAGACAAAGCTTTCACAGTAAGCAAAGAATCCGACTCCGCCCAAAGAGCTCTCCAACCTTTTTGAATAGTGATATCAATAGCCTAAATAAACCCCAGGAGTTCAACTTCAAAAGCTGAATCTGTTTGCAATATTTATGGATTCATGGGTGGTCTTTTAATTTTCTAATGTAGTTCTCAACAATAACGCATCGTCTTGTGAAAAACTCTACAAATCTTATTATCAATTTGTTAAGTTTTTCCATTTATTAATATTCCTGCATTCTACAACACACTTTTCTTTTATGTCAACTTTGTCTCATGTTTCTCTTTTATCTTTTCTATTTTCCTATTGAATCTGGATCACTTACTCTAGTACACTGCAGAAAATACTCCTGATTCTTCGCCAAGTGAACTGCATGAAAATGCATACATTGAGACAGCTTGTGAGATCACCTCTGGAGAATTGTTAAATGCAGAACATGAAGAAGTGGTCAAATTTAATTCAAATCCAAGCTCCCAAAAAACTGATTTTGGTTCAGCTGGTCAGGATGTGGCAAACTCAATGATGTCACTTCTGCTTCCTCAAGCAGTTCCTCTATTGAGGACTGTTACAACAAGTAAGGAGTTTGTCATTAGCCCTAATGATATGCCGCCTTCTCAGGTGAATTCCACGGAGGAACATAATAAAATTGGATATAGTTTGCATGTACCATCATCTGGTAAATACTACCCTATCTACACTATTGTTTCTGGGCATTTGATATAGTAATGTTGTCACTTCAATCTTCCTTTTGTTTCCATGTTTGTTTTTTTTATGTATCCTTATGCATTATTGAAAAATGTTTATATGGCAGACGTTATAATGACAGAGACTGCTCATGGGGAACAAGGAGAAAAGATACATGGGTATATAGACCCAGATTTAAACACTCCTAATACTGAACATATGAAGTGTATTGTTCCTGACAGTTTTGAATATAGTCAATGCGATGATTATAAAACCAATCAGGAAATCTTATCTTCTGATCTTGCTGAAGCTGGTAGATTTAGTTTCAATATAGAAATGTGTTCTCAACAGCTTCTTGGTCATGACTTGCCAAACATAACATCTACAAGCCATGCTTTAGGGATGGACTTTAAAGACAATCCTCATAATTTTGATGTATGCATTTCTGAATCTGTTCTAGATGACATGTCTCCTAAGGATCAGGTTAATTCTGAAAGAAGAGATAATGACTGCTTGAATGTGAATGAAAATCCTGCACATGCTAGTCTCAGTTCTGCGCAAAAAGACTTATCAACTGCTCAGAATTTTACTCGAGGTAATGTGTGTATGATATCTGACCTCAAGAAAATAAATTCTGAAATATTGATAAACATAGTCATGAGGGTTTAAATTTCTATTGCAATATGGTTTTCAGTCTGTTTTTAACTAAGATTGATAGGAACCAGAACCAAAGCACAAATTAATAACTCAAGAACAAATAAGAATAATATTGTATTATTGACGAACACCAAAATGAAATACAAGAGAATAACAGATTCTCCTGTCCCAGAGTTAGAGCTCTCCATTTCTAACAAACTCCAGAATCATTCCCCGTGGCCCTCTCACTTCCTCAGGTCTAATATAACCGAAAGATTCCCTGTAACTGATCCTGGCCCACCTATTCTCGCACTGCTCTCCCTGTTATCACGCGCACACACCAGCGCCTTGCCATATCATATTTCTCTATTTTTTTTAATTTCTCCCCTCGTAGACTTTCCACACCGTGGACCTGTGCCTCGTCTAATTTTGTTGCATGAATTCTGCATCTATGCCCGCATGTTGTTGTACCCATATTGGATTAAAAAATTGGTTCCTATACTTGGTATACATGCCTACCCAATACTCAATTATAACTCAAGCATAAATTGGTCCGTAGAGAACAATTTGTTAGTAAATGAGACTAATCCCTGCTTCACTCTCTTCAGAACTTGTGCTTTTAAATATATGTTGCTCAATGCATGAACACTATGAAAATTGTATTTATATTTACTTTCTTGTTTGTTTTTATATTTTATGACATGTTCACGCTCACCTTCGATTTAGAAATTTTGTGTACCCCTAGATTTCGAAATATTGTACCCTAATACCTATACGGATACTGGTACCCATACCCCATGGATCTTGAGTTACTGTCAAACCAATCACATGATCCAGCACAACTGACATGATTACAGTAAAATATTAGCTTATTTTTGGGCCAGGAGTCAGGAAGAATTAAGCTTAATGAGTTGATACTGTTGCTTATTGAATTGTTCAGTCTGATTCAGTCATTAACATTTCATACAAATTTTATAACACCATGCAGGTGTTAGGGATGCATTCTCAGGTGACAAGTTTAAACATGTTACTCCTCAAATTAAGAAAGACACTTTACGATCCTCAGAGACCATTCCAATGGACAATTCAAATGATAAACCATGTGGACCAGATGATAATGCAGGTTTATGTGTTGAAGCACCTCAAACTTGTAGTGATGTTCTGATTGGACATAACCTAGTGGAAAGAAGCCTAACATCATCTCAGAATCCAGCCCTGTTTGCCGAAGAAAATAAGTGCTTTGATTCGAAGGAGGCTCAATTAATTTCAGAGCCTTTGGCCCTGCAAAACCAGGAGCTCAAGAATAATCTGGGCAGCAGTGTTAAGTTTGTGGGACGTTACTTGCATCCAATGCCTGTTTCATCATTATTTTTAAGCACAAGAGAGGATAAAATCCATGTTTGTGTACTATGTGGTCATCCGACAGGTCAGTCCAGGACCTTGTTTAGTTACAAGGTAGGTATTACTGAACCAACTCTAGGATGCCCTTCTGTCATGGCTCACAGCACAATACTGTTACCTGATCCAAAACATAACTTCGTAAAAGAAGTAAGTAATTTTTTGCTTGGTTCATTCTCAATCACTTCTTCCTTTTTTATTCCAACTGTTTAGTTAGATAAATGGTCACCGTCAAAATCAGTTTAGAGTACAGCTGTCATAAGCGAATGTAATGCAGTATACACTACTATAGTAACAAAATCTATCATATTTTATGCTAGATTATAGTGGAGAGATCTGGGGTGCAGTTGACTCCTGGTGGACAGTATATTGTCTTAATAGGCAGCATAAAGACCCCCAATTGCAGGTTAACTATTTCTGCATGTTTCAATTGATATGTATTTGCATTAAACTTGTTGTGATGAACTAAATAGCGTCTCATCCCAGGGAAGGAAAAATTGATTGTTCTTGCTCAACATGTTCATCAGTCGTCTATGAGAAGAATGCATTGAAGATTGTCCAAGTAGAACATGGTTATGTATCAGTTGTAGCAACATTGGAAACGGTTGACAATGTGCATTGTATATTGGTTTGTGAACCTAACCGACTTGTTTCTGTAGGAGAAAGTGGGAAACTGCAGGTGTGGATCATGAATTCAAAATGGAGGTGATTTAGTGACTCTTTGCACTTCCATTCCCTAGAAAGCCATTTATGTCCCTTTCAGAATATGAATATTTAAAAGTTTTAATTTATTATGATTAACTTGCTGATTTCTTGTATGTTTGCTTTTGTAGCTGACAGCATGGATATGAGTTCCCTTTCTTTTAACTTTAAGAGTACACAAGAATACTTGGAAATCCGTGTTTTTGAGATTGTTATGACAGATTTTTTTCTAAGTTTAAAAGCTTTCTAATTTTTGTTGAAGTTAATTTGCTCAGAATTTTAGACCAGCCATTAGTCTCAAATGCGACAATTATTGATGAGTTATACATTTGTAATGGTAGAATTTATTCCTGTTGGTCTATAACGTCTGTATTGTCAATACCTATTAAAATTGTTGATTTTATGGCTAGCTTAATTAAATATATAACTTTTGGTTATCTTGCAATCATGAATACAACTTGTTCACTCTTTTATTCATATTTTGGCAGTGAAAAAACAGATAATTTCATTATTCCAGCTGATGGCTCTGCATCTCCTGGCATTGTGGAGTTGAAGAAGGTTCCGAAGTGTACTCATTTGGTGGTTGGTCATAATAGCTACGGGGAATTTAGTTTATGGTATGCTATTTCATTCACCTAAAAAGGGTTCCCTTTAATGTTGTTCATATTAGCACTGAAGCACCTAATACACCAGTCCTTCTCAAAAACTGTAGTGTTTTTTTAGGGACCATGCTGACATTTAAACATTCTCAGGACCTAGTAGGTCGATGCCAAATTGTTCAGGAATGAATTTGGGGTTACTCATGTGGGGCTTTTGCATTTTTACGATATGTGCTATCAGTTTATCATATTTGTTGCATCAATTCACTTGCAATTTTTGCCCATTGTGCAGTCAGTATGATAGGTATATGTGATAAAAAAATCAAATCAAAACAGAACAGAATATGATAGTCTATGAAAATTGTATTATTAAATATATGAAATGAACAACCAAGTGCAACACGATATAATATCTTTCCAGAGTCTATGACTCCTCTAGAGAGACAACTCTCCTTGCCCTATTCCTTAACCAACTCCCGTACCCCTCTCTCTTTCCTCCTATCTCAAATACTTGAATTCCCACTAATTTCAGATTCTTTTCTGCGTCATTACCCTCCTAACTAATTAATATTCTCTGGGCCTGCTTTCTTTCTTCTAGAATAAACCTTCCATACTTTGGGCCTTCCACTAACGCAATCTTCTCCACTATCTTTTTCCTGCTGTATGAGTCCATCCTCAAGTGTTCTATCATTATCCCCTCCTCCAAAAACCACCTTGTCCTCAAGGCAAAGATGAGGAAATTGACTCTGGAGCAATAATGTATATGTCCAAGTGGTTTCTTCTGCAGTTCTACCCTTCCAATGCACCAGCCACTGCTTAATTAGCTGCTCTTTTTTCTTAATTTCTCGTGTTGCTAAAACCGTCTCCGGGTCCTCCAAATCTTCTTGCTCCAATTCCAATTCTGCAGGCAATTCAGAAGCTGCAGAATAATCTCCACTGTTTCAGCTGTGATACTTGGGTGCACTCTAGCTGTCTTGGGTAACTTAAAACTTGTACGAGACAGCTCCCACCTTGGCCATCACAGGAAATGGTCCATAATAACGAGCTGCCAACATCGGATTGATGCGAGGTGCCACCATTTGTTGCCTATGTGGTCACAATTTTACAAATACTCATTCTCCTACCTCAACCTCCACGGGTTTGTGTTTCCTATCTGCATACTTCTTCATCTGCTGCTGAGCAAACAAAAAATGATATTTTAATTGTCGCAGAGCTTCATCACAATCGACTAATTTTGCTACCACAGCCTCCACGTTCGTTTCTCCTTGGGTAAAGCGAACCAACGGAGGAGGTGTTCTCCCATATACCACTTCAAATGGTGTTTTTCCCGTAGTCACATGGAAAGTGGTATTGTACCATAATTCAGCCCATGGTATCCAATCCACCCAATGTTTAGGTTGCTCCAATACAAAACACCTTAAGTAAGTCTCTAAACACCTATTTACCACTTCCGTTTGACCGTTCGTCTTGGGATGATAAGATGAGCTCATCTTTAATACACTACCCTGTAAACGAAACAACTTTTGCTAAAATAAGCTCATAAACAAGGGGTCTCGGTCACTCACAATTTCCTTAGCAAATATTTCTACTACCTTTCTTGCCATATATGGATGTTTGAGACGTATAAAGTGTCCATACTTTGACAACCGGTCTACTACCACAAACACAGCATCAAATCCCTTTGATTTGGGCAACCCCGTTATAAAGTCAAGGGAAATATCCTCCCAAACATAGTCAGGTATGGGTAATGGTTGTAAGAGTCCAACTGGAGATATTGTTGCATACTTTTGCCTTTGACATATATGACATTGCTTAACAAATTCTTGCACCCTTTTCTTCATGCCAACCCAATATAGATTTCCAGCAACCCGCTTATATGTCTGCAGAAAACCTGAATGTCCCCTTGCAGGAGATGCATGGAATTCTTCTAAAATGTGTGGAATCAAAGGAGACGTTGCTGACAAAACTAATCGTACCTTATGCAATAATATGCCCTACTGCCAGTTGAACCCATGTTTAGGATTAACAGCTTGCTGAATGTTTTCCACCACCCTTTTAAGGAAAGGATCTGATGGTTGCTCCACCTGTACCTGCTGTCCCTGCAACCATATTGGAAAAGAAATCAAATTTCTTAATTCACCATCTTCAAACACCCATGACAATGCATCAGCAGCTTTATTATCAGGGCCTGGTTTATAAACCACTTCAAATTGATATCCCAACAATTTAGCTACCCAAGTATGATATTCTGCTGTGGTTATTCTCTGTTGCAACAAATACCCCAAACTTCGTTGATCAAAATAAACTTTAAAGCTTCTACCAAGAAGATATAGTCTCCAATGTTGTACAGCTAGCACTAAAGTCATTAACTCTTTCTCATAAGCTAAGTTACTCAAGTTATTTGGTGATAATGCCTTATTAAAGTAAGCAATGGGTCTGCAGTTTTGCATCAACATGGCACCAATTCCTACTCCTGAAGCGTCACATTCAATTTTGAATGGTTGAGTAAAGTTTCGGAGGACTAAAACAGGAGTTTGAGTCATGACTTTCTTTAATTCCTCAAATGCTGCTAATGATGTCGAGTCCTAGTTAAACCCATCCTTCTTAGTTAGTTTTGTCAAAGGCTTGGCAATCCTTCCATACCCTGCAATAAATTTTCAATAATATCCTGTCAACCCAAGAAAACCCCTAACTCCCTTCACATTGGGAAGAATAGGTCATTCTATTACACTTAGGATTTTTTCAGGTTCAACTGCCACTCTCTGTTCTGAAATTACATGGCTTAAATATTCCACTTGTTTACTTTCAAACACACTTCTTCTGATTCACCACAAAAGCTTCGTGCTGTAACAGTTGCAACACTAGAGATAAATGCTCTAAGTGGTCTTGCCACCTTCGACTGTACACTAGAATATCGTCAAAGAAGACTAAGACAAACTTCTCTAAATAGGGCTTGAATACTTGATTCATTATTGATTGAAAAGTGGCTAGGGCATTAGTTAACCCAAAGGGCATTACCAAGTACTCGTAATGGCCCTCATGAGTGCAAAAAGTTGTCTTGTGCACATCTTCCTCCTTCATTTTAATTTGGTGATACCCTGACTTCAAGTCTAATTTTGAAAAATAAGCAGTCCCATGCAACTCATCCAATAGTTCTTCAACCATACGAATTGGTTATTTATCAAGCATTGTGACCTTGTTCAATTCTCTATAATCCACACACATCCTCCATGAAGCATCCTTCTTCTTAACCAAAATGGCTGGGTTTGAGAAAACACTTGTGCTATGCCTGATAGTTCCTTGTTACAATTCACTCACTTGCTTTTCTATCTCTTCTTTGTGATGATATGGATATCTGTAAGGTTGCACACTCACAGGTCCGGCTTCCTTATACAGCTCAATACCATGAGAAATCTTTCTAGTTGGAGGTAATCCTTTCAGTTCCTTGAAAACTGCTCTGAAAGTAGACAACACTTGCTGCTCCTCATTCAATTGTGTAGTTGACAAGCCCCTGTCAATACTTCGATAAATTTTTTGCGCATTTTTAGTCATTAAACTTTGGAAAGAAGCCACCATTTCTGTGTGACATCTCCTTTCTGTTTTCTACCCCTGTAGTTCCACTGGGTATCCCTTCCATTTAAAATTGATAACCCTATTTTTCCAATCGAAAGTCACCATACCAAATTCTTGTAAACATGTTACTCCCAATATCATATCCAAACAATTGACGCATTGAAGCCTCCATTGCCGTCAAATGTTCCTCCAATGCGTCCACTCTATCTGACATCCACGGGGGCATGGAAAAAGGTAACTATGCTAGCTCTCCTCGAAAGGATCCAGCATGTTGGACCAATGATAGGCATATATGATAAAAAAAATCAAATCAAAATAGAGCAGAATACGATAGTCTATGAAAACTGTATTATTGAATATATGAAATGAACAACCCAGGTGCAACACGATATAATATCTTTCCAGAGTCTGAGTCTCCTTGCCCTATTCCATAACCAACTCCCATACCCCTCTCTCTTTCCTCCTCTCAAATACTTGAATTCCCACTAATTTCATATTCTTTTCCACATCATTACCCTCCTCACTAATTAATATTCTGAGTATGCTTTCTTTCTTCTAGAATAAACCTTCCATACTTTGGGCCTTCCACTAACACGGTCTTCTCCACTATCTTTTTCCTGCTGTATCAGGCCATCCTCAAGTGTTCTATCACAGTAACATTTAGGTCATTAGTTAATGTTTTTGTTGGATCTTATTTTCTATTGAGTCAAAAGTTGTTCTGAACATGAATTTTTTGTTTGTTTACTTCTTCTATAATGATCCCCTCTTCTGTATGCAAATGTTCAACATAAAGAGGTTTCCAATCTAAGTTTTATCTACTTCAATATTCAAAAAATGTTTCCTGACTTTTCTGCCATTTTTTCATCCCATCATTTCACATTCTATTCGTATTTATTGAAATGACCTTTATGACCTAACCCAGCAGTTGTAAGAAATGGTAGAGAGAAGGGGAAATAATCACTCTGGAAAAGTTCAAGTATCTTTTAATCTGGTCATACAGTTATGGTATTAGGATCACATCTCATCCACTATTTTCAATGTTTTTTTTAGGGATATTACGAAGTGTAATTGTGTTACAAGATTTTCTGCTTTCAAAAGTTCAATAAATGAGTTCATTCCAATAAGCTTGCTCCAGTGGCAATCAAAAGACTCGGAATTCAGATATGCTAGCATAGAAGAGCTGGCTGATAAACTTTTAGAAGCAACAAAGTCGAGGTACTCAGAGAAAAGAGAGACCTGTTGGTTTTCACCAATGGAGGAAGATGTTGCGATGTGGCTTTTTGTCTCGACATCAAGTAGTTATGATATACACACGACTAGAAGTTGGAGGCTTGGTCTTGTAATGAAAAATAGCATAAATTTTGGAAGTCCCTTGGATCTAAGGTGCTATAAATTTTCTGAATTTAAATATAGTTTGTATTCAACTTTTCCCGTCAATGATCTTCACTATTTTTCACTTCCATTAGTTATAAATCATTTGAGTGACATGGATGGATATACGAAATTGCATCTAAAGAATGGCTGACGATATTTAATAGCTGCAATTTATTGCTTAGATTTATCGATTAATTTACAGCTTTCAATATATTAATTCTATGCAGGCCATCTGGTATTGGTGTTTCTTGTGGTTATGGAATCATCGGTTCAAGTGATGGAGTGGTGTATATGTGGGAGCTGTCTAAAGGAACCAAGCTTCATACTCTGCATCATTTCCAAGGTATGTTGAACTGTTCCGTCTTGGTTTGTTAGTTTTGTCCACTTAGCAGCTGCACAACTATTAAAGAAGCACTAGTTATATTGATTTTCTGCAGTAGGTTCGGCCCTTTTGGATTTAGGGGACAATTTAAAGAAAAAATTTATCAAAAGTAGTTAAATTTAAAAATATACTAATATGGATAAAGTCATATCTAATGTGAATGTGTTAATAAACACATCTTTTAATTTTATTTTATTTTTGTTAAGGTTGATTTTGTTATGTCAGTGTTTTTTTTAAGTCATTAGTATGAACACTTTTTAATAATATCTTTTTATTAAAGTTTTGTTACTGAATATAACTTCGATGACTTGCCTGTAGATTTTTTTATTGATTTTATTTTGAATGATAATTATATGTTTAAAAACATTGAGAAAATGTTATTTTATTAATATATATATATATATATATATATATATATATTAAATCATTGTATATAAAAATTAAATTTAATTTATTTACATAATTTGAATTATAAAAATATATTTTATTTTTAAAATTTACAATTATTTTTAATTAATTAAATATGGAAAAATAGTTTGTTAATTGGTTTTTAAAAAGTTTGAAAATAATATTATATAATTCATATATTAAATAATTAAAAATTTATAATTAAAATTTATTTTATTTATATGATTTTAAATTTTAAAATATATACTATATTTTAAAAATTTTAAATTTTGAATTATTTTTTAATTATTTAATAATGTAAGAATAACTTATTGTAAATTGGTTAATATATTGCTTGTTTGGGTCTAAGAATCATAGCATGTTTAAAATACAAGCTGTAAGTACAGTATTTATTTTTTCCCTGAGAAGTTCATATATATATATATATATATATATATATATAAGCTGTATGTCCGGACACATTTTTTCTACTTTACCCATTTTGACACATGTATTTTTATATTTTATAATTTTTATGTAAAATTCAATTTATTAAAAACGTTTTCATTTCATAAAAAAAATAGTTGTATTCTATATATAACTTCTTAAAATAACAAAAAAAAGTTATTAAAATGAGAAAAAAATATTAAAAATTAAAAGTCATGTTTTAATTCATGTTATAAACTAAAGTTGTGATTAAAACATCACTAACAAAATTGAATAAAAAATAAATTAATTATGAAGTTGTGTTTTAAGAAATCATCTTCTACAAAATTGTGTTAAACACATTTGCTCGTTTATGATTATTCTCTTATGTAATTTTTTCAAAATTTATCTATTTATGTAATTTTAACAAAAGTTACCTCAAATAAACATTTATTGCATCAGGAAATTATATATATATATATGAAAGAGAATTAAATGAAGTATTTTCAGGAAATGCCTTGTGTTCTTCTTAACTGGGCAGTTAGAAGATTAAATCATAAAAAAAAAAGGAGAGAGAGGATGTTGGGATTTCTTTCCCGTGAACCTTGGGATCCGAGATATAGTTTATCTGACTTGTGATGGTGTAGAAAAGGATTGATCCTAGAGTGGAATGAAAATGTTTTTATTTTTTAAAGCTCTTAACTCTATAAAAAGATCATGAAATTTCTTCCAGAATACTTAATTTGACAATATATAAATGTATTCATTCTTTCAAGCTCTTCCAAGTTTTAAACAAATAAACGCCTACAAAAAAATCTATGATTTATTAAGACTTTATCAAGATATAACAATAATATAAGATAAACAGGAAAGAAAGACTAAGTACACAATAGTATAAGATATGTCTTTTAAGCAACTTAGTTTGAAGTTTTCACACACAATGCAATACCACATACTATGCACTAGTTCTTGAATCTGTCAAGAACAACCCATGCAATGTAGAAATATATAGAAATGTACTCGATACAAAATTACAAAGATATAGAAATATATCACCTAGACGTGATAATTGATAACCCAGCTGTAATGCTTTCAGATATTCTCAATTTTTTGTTCTTAACTCGCTCGCCCTTTTTGTGTAATTCTGAAGTAATAGAATTTATTTTTGTATTTTCTGAACTTTTGAATTTTGTTTTATAGATGGAAAACAGAGTTAGTAGATTATTTCATTCGTATCACAGGACTTTCTATAGGCACTGCAGATCAGTTTTATTTATTGTTGAATATAGTGAAAACTAGGTATATGATTAATTCCTTTTGTGTCTTAAAATACACATAAGTAATATATTTTATAATTAAGAGTCATACAAATATTTAAAATATCTAGAATATCTAAAATATGTAACATTTATAAAAGTCAAATAATTATCATTTGGGAATCACTACAAATATGAAAATATCCAATTGTAAGATACTCAATTATATAGTTATGATTATTGATTATTTCATTTTTGGTGTCTTTTCATGATTTTTGGGTATAAAAATGTTCTGACTTTCTATTCCAAGTTAATTCCTAAAGGTCTGGTTGAGTATACTTTTGCTCAAGAAAGACAAATAAGAGAAAAAAATAAGAGTTTTTGCATATGCTAATTTTAACTTATTATTAACTAATATTAATTTATGCATACGTTAATTTAATAGAAGTGTTTACATGTTAGATTCTCTAAGATATTTTTAACTCATACATAAATTATTTTTTTCTTATGAATTAATTTATGCATCAGTTAATTTATTGAATTTTTTTGTATATTAACTTCTTAAAAAAATTATTTTTAACTCATGAGTCCCTTGATAAATGTTGACCTCGTGTTGTCAATAATGCGACTCAATATGATGTCATTTTTAGGTCATTCCAGTGTACTCTGCTTGTATTAGGTCATTCCAGCTTGCTGGCTGGCTTTAATAATGGATATAATTATACTTTAATGCTCAATACGATTTCATTTTTAGGTTTCATACTTGAGACTGTTACTATGATGTGCAATCAAAATGTTGACTGGTTTCTTTTCTATGTCCATCATAAACAAGCTGTCATTCTGATTTTTTTTTTTATCAATTTCTTTTTTCTCCAAGTTGTTAAAAATTACAATTTTTTATTTCAGATGGCAATCTCGCGTGTGTTGCTACCGATGACCCTAGAGGTGCCTTGGGAGTGGCTGGTGGTGGAGGCCAATTGTTGCTTTATCTACACCTTCCTGAGCTAGATTCAAACTAACTAGTGGACATGAATAGTGTTATTTACCCAGCATATAGGAGCTTGTGTGGATACTTGGAAGCATTTTTTTTTTTCTCTCTGAATTGCAATTGTTGTTCATTTCGGGGATTCCATGTACTGCTCAAGGTCTTAGCCAAATTAGTAGCGACTACATATGGTTTGTATATAGCACCAGCGGATATGTTTGGTACATGCAATTTATTTTATATATGTTGATGGCACTGCAGCAGTAAAATTTGAAAATTGTTTAATACAGCATAAATTTTAATTTAGTGATAGAAGTGACATTTAAATTAAGTTAGAACTTTAAAATTCGAAGTTTCTAAATGTAATTTTTCTTGTTGAATATAAACATTTCTTAGGGTAAAATTACTTTTTTTTTTTAATAATATTGTCCAATCGAATTTTCTATTTACGAACACAACTTTATTATTCAATTTGTGCCTGAAAAGTTTAAGTTTAGGTAATTTTAATTTGGGAAATTTGTATTTTTCTGCTATGCTGAATGATATTTACATCTTTATTTTAGTAAATGATATTCATCCTTTTGCTATTTTTTAATAAAGTAACACTTATTTATCTTACGTTATTTAAGATTATCGTGTTGGTTAAAATTTTAAAAATAATAAAAATAAAATTAAAGTTATAAAGTATTATATTTCAAATACTGATAAACACAGTTAAATTTATTTTTATAAATAGAATGAGATAAATTATAGTGTGAATCATTTTATTCAAAACATAAGAAAATATATAATTTTAATCAGTATCTAAATATATAATTTTATTCAAAACATAAGAAAATATATTATTCAGTATAATTTGAGATAAACAAGTGTAATCAACTCCTTGCACAAGTGAAAGGTAGAACTAGTCATTTTTACTATATAATTATGACAAGTTTTATTTAATCATACCAAAATTGAAATTCAAGAGAAAATAATAATAATATCCAAAAAGCTTCGTTTGCCCTCCATATAAAGCACAACTTGTGTTTAAATCGATTGGGGGTATAAAGAAAAAGAAAAAAAAAAATGCAAAACACAAACAATTTTTAACGTTATTAAGTGTTTTTCCTTTTGTATTTATTTACTTTACAGATATTGAATGGAAAAAACAATGTAAGAACAAGTATGACAGTAATTATGACAAAAGTGTTACACATGCTTGCTCCTAATTGCTTCCTAAAAAGAATGAAATAAAATACAATGTGTATAAAAGCAGCAAAACAAAGGATCTTGCCAACAACCTTGATTTTAGCTGGCTTTGAAAGAGGGAAAAGCCAAGCAGACTGTAGCATCCAGATCTGAGAAGTCACCAGCAATTGTAACCAGTGCCCCAATCATTTATTTGTCTGTTACATCAACCATGAACTGCTGTATAAGCTTCTTGTTTTGACAGTAAATTTCAACATTTACATGTGGAGGGCTCCTTTCTTTCATGATAAACCAAGTTAGATCACCTAATTCCTTGTATAATAAATAGCTCATTTGGAAGGCAACTTGAGTTCCAACTATGGGACATTTCGTTAAGGAAATATGCCTCTGTTTGAAAGGAGTGTACAGAGAAGTACAAGATTCCTTGACGTACTATTTGACAACCAAATTCTTGCTCCACACGCTTCTTTTTTCTCCATGATTGTTGTCTTGGGAACTTTCACAATGCCATGCATTTAGATATATACAAATTTCATCATATTGGACTTATTTCCACAAGACCACAGGAAAAGGTAGAACTAGATATGTAACCCGCCCGAGTTTCTCACAGTCTAGTTAAAAAAATAGGTAGACTCCAAAACCTCTTGAAGATTGAAGTCTCCTCGTTCTGGTAAGGGAGGAAAGTTCAATGTCGGAAAAGTCTTTTGGAAGCTCTCCAACAACTGCATTTACAAGTAAAAAATGAACGATTAAACAAACAAGTCATTTGGTATCTAATGACAAGTTTACTTGTACACAAAATATGTAAAATAATAATTCAAAAGTAACATGCATCTAAAGATACCAAAAATTGAGTTGGGTACGTTGATTAATTTGGTCAAGTAAAGGTACCTTAGATGATGCAAGATACCATAAATACTTTACATAATTACAAAATGCATCAAAAAAATTCCTAAGTAAATGGTCAGTTTCACATTAATATCCACTAGGTGATTCATTTCATTGCACAGGAAGCCATAAAAACAGAAAATTTGACTGAATTGAATGACATTAAGTCAGAATGGATTGATTTGAAGAAAATACTTCATTCTTGGCAATCTAAGGTATGTCTCAGAAACCAACTTACAAATTTAACCCAATCAAAGAGCCATATATTTAAAGATATAAAATACTTTACATTTTCCAATATTGGAGCCTCATAGAGTTCAACAAACTTTTCCCTTAGTATCCTGTTCATTTCATCAACATCACATGCATGCGTCCAGTATGAATCATGAACCCCTGCAATTAAGCATTGGTTTACAAATTTAAAATCCTAATGGAAAGTCAAATAGCATTACCTATGACCATTTGTGTGTGTTTTATATAAATCAATAAGCACCTGCAAAGTTCAACCCCGCCTTTGTACAAGCAACTGCAGTCATCATCATGTGAGAACCATCAAGTGAGTGAACAAAATTTGGGGGAAAAGCTGTTCTATGCCTTTTAGCCATGATCTGTAACAAGAGTAATGTTCTATTAGTTGAACAATAGTATGGTTAGGGCAAGACACCACCTTCTATATTGTTCCAAGGGCACTGCAGGTTTTGACAAGTAATACCAACATAATAACAAAGTGATCGTACAGCATTAAGTACACAAATGAATTGGATAGTCCAACAAATCCCTTCAAAACATGAGCTACTCTAAGTTGATATGGTGATGCGCACGCAGCTTACAAAATATAATTAGTGACTATTATGCAGACATGAATTTTTGTGATAGATTCAAATAGAACAACAATTAGTTCAAACTAAAGGCACAAGTCTACATATATGGTTGATCAATTTCAATCAAATCAATACTTACCTTGCTAGTCTCCCGTTGTAATGTCAATATTTGAAGGGAAGTTTTGATCTGTAAATCATATCCAATTACCATATTAGTGAGAAAAATATTTGTCAACTATTTATGATTTACTAGTATAGAAAATAAAAAGAAAAAATATAGGCCAACAGTTAATAAAATTACTAGATGTCTTCCTAATTGTCGATAGGGTTGTACTACAGGAAGACCAAGGGGAGTGATCCACCGGACTGCTTGATTAGTGGAAGCTATCACCTATTCCATGTTCAAATTTTCAATCATTACAGTGATTAAGATGCAAACAGATTAAAGCATAATGGACACTAAAACATGGGAACAGTGTTAGAATAACCACATAATTCTTGAATCACATGTTCAATGCCTATGGCATTTGTTGAAAGAGAAAAAAGGGCATGTTGTAAAATCTATGGGCTTAGTTGAGAGGAGAAAAGAGAAATATTATAATATTTGGGTGTCTTTCCACAAACCAAATCACCTCATATTTATAATGGATGGTTGTAGACATACATTGTTTAGAGGGGAGATGAAAAGATTAACATCAAAAAGATACAACTCATAGATAAATATAACTAATTAATACCAATCTAGTAAATATAAATAGTGTGAATCTAACACTCTCCCTCAAGTTAGAGCATACAAATTGTATATGTCAAGCTTAGAACAAATAAACTCAATTTGAGATCCTCTCAGAGACTTTGTCAATGCATTTGTAAGTTGATCATTGGACCCAACAAATTCAGTATTGATTTCTTCGGACAGTAGCTTTTCACAGATGAAATGACAATCAATTTCTATATATTTTGTTCTCTCATGGAACACTGAATTTGAAGTAATGTAGAGAGCATCTTGGTTATCACAATACATTTTCATTTGTTGAACCTAATTCTTTAAGGAATTGTTTTACCCACAAAAGCTCGCAAGTAAGAGATGTCATTGTCCGGTATTCAGCTTCAGCAATTGATCAGGTAACTACATTTTGTTTCTTGCTTTTCCAAGAGATGATATTTCCTCTAAGGAAAACACAATATCCTGTAGTGGAGTGTTTGTGCATTGGAAACCCTGCCCAATCAACATTACAATACCCAAAAAATTGAGTATTTCCTTTATCTTCACATAATAAGTCTTGTCGAAGAGTTTTTTTTATGTATCTTAGGATACGGATGACAACATTTCAATGATCCGTACAAAGAGCCTGCATGAACAAACTCACAACACCTACGGTGAATGACAGATCTGGTCTAGTAATAGTAAGATAAATAAATTTCTCAACCTATTCTATATCTTTCTGGGTTAGAGAAAACTTCACCCTATTCTGTCATTAATTTCTTATTTGGGTCTATAGGGCTATCCACAGGTTTACAATCTATCAAACCAGTCTCTTTTAGGATATCAAGAGCATATTTCCTTTGAAAGATTATAACACCTTCTTTTGACTAGGCCACTTTAATACCTAAGAAATATTTGAGACATCCAAGATCCTTGGTTTAGAATGACTACACAAGTGTTTTTTTAATTTGAATATTCTAGTGACATCATCCCCTGTAACGATAATATCATCCACATACATTATTAAGTAAACACATTTTCAAGGGATGTGTGACAATAGAAAACTTAATGGCCTGCTTTACTATGTCTCAGCCTAAAGGCTTGAACAATGGAATTAAATTTTCCAAACCAAACTTGTGGAGATTGCTTTAGACCATAGAGAGAACGACGCAACTTACACAACAAACCAGACTCCCCCTGAGCAACAAATCCAGGAGGTTGCTCCATATATACCTCCTCATCTAGATCACCATGAAGGAAGGCATTTTTAATGTCCAATTGATAAAGTGGTCAATGTCGAATAGTTGTTATAGCAAAAAAAAAAAGATGAATAATAGTCATTTTGGCCACAAGAGAAAAAGTATCATTGGAATCAAGGTCATAGATCTAAGTAAAACCTTTTGCAACCAGACCAGCTTTAAGACGGTCTACTTCACCATTGGGACCAACTTTAATGTTATACATCCATCGAATCCGACAATCTTCTTCCCAACTAAAAGGGGAACTAATTCCCATGTATTATTATGATCAAGGGCTTGCATTCCTGTAATCATGGCTTATCGTCATCCAAGATGAATAAGTGCTTCATTCACATTTTTAGGAATAGTAATAGAAGAGACAGAGGATATAAAATAGAAATAAGAAGGAGATAGTTTGTGATAACTAAGAAAATTATAGATAGGATGTGGATTACGGGTAGTACGAGTACCTTTACGGAGGACAATGAGCCAAGCTTAATCATCATTATCAGGAACTGTGAAAGACGGCGATGATTGAGAAGTACTCGATGAAAAGGACTCGTCTTGAAGCATTGAACTAGTCACTTAGGTCCTGCGTTGGTAAGTAATAAGAGGTAAAACAAATGGAGCAGACACATCCTGAATGGGAGATGACGGGTTAGTAAACAGATTAAGAGACTCAATCAATGATATAAGAAGGACCTGTTGGGACAGAATGAGCATCTTGGACGAATGAAGAAAAGAAAGGAGTTTGTTCAAAAAAGGTAACATGGACAGACATGTAATATTTCTTGGTTTCAAGAGAATAGCAACGATGTAACACACTTGACAGTCTGACAGAGAGTTTGTCCAATCTTGGGATCATATCATGAACAAAACACATACATCCAAACACACAAGGAGAAACATGAAAGAGAGCTTCATTAGGATTAAGAATAGAATAAGGAACTTTATTATTAAGAGAAGATGATGACATTCTATTAATAAGAAAACAGGCAATGAGGATAGTATCACCCCAATGATGGATCGGTATATTGGCCCCAAGCAATAAGGTATATGCAGTCTCAACTAAGTGTCTATTTTTTCCTTTCAGCAACACCATTTTACTGAGGTATGTGAGGACAAGTAGAAAGATGAAAAATGCCATGTGATTTTAAGAATGCAGAAAAATTAGACGAGAAGTATTCTTTGGTATTGTCTCTTCTTAAAATTTTAATAACTTTCCCAAATTGATTGAAAATCTCATTAAGGAAAGATGTAAAGATAGGTAAAAGTTTATAACAATCTTTCATTAAATAAACCCAAGTGCATTTTGAAAAATCATCAATGAAAGTAATAAAATATTTAAAATCAAAAAAAGAAACCCAATTTGATCCCCAAATATCAAAATGAATGACAGAAATAGCAGACTCACGTCTAGATTTAGAATGTCTAGAAAAGAAAGACCTAACATGTTTTCCTAATTGACAAGACTCACATTCTAAAGTTCAAATATGACTAAGTTCTGGAATTATTTTCATTAACTTTGTCAAGTGGGGATGACCTAAACGTTCATGTAAAAGTTGGGGGAAGGAGATGCAAAACAAGACCCAAATGAGCTAGATCCAAAGTAGAAGATACCTTTAGATTCATGTTCTTCTCCAAATGAGCTAGATTTTAAGTATAAGGTAGGAGAAAGGGATACTAGGTAAATTCCTTGAGAAGCAACTTTGGATCCATTAGCTAGGGTTGTAAGATGATGATTTTTAGAATAAGAAAGATAAGAAAATATAGAGGTATTACCAAAAATATGGTCAAAAGCACCTGAGTCAATAATCCTGGACTTTGACCCTCCACAAATTGTGAAATGCAAGTAGTTGACATGTTGGGAGTTAAGGCTAGACTATTAGACTTCAACCTCAAATATTCTTGATATTCCTCATCAGAAAATTTTGGGATGGGTCTAGAGGCAATTTCTGACCCGAAGGAGATAAGACAACACACAAATGGAGAAAGATAGATAGAGGAACCCCCAAGCAGACAGCGGGCAACAACGGCAGTGATTGACGGTGACTGGCAACGGCTGAAGGTGGTTGGCAAACTGAACAGAACCAGAACAGGTTAAGCAGGATAAACCTGCTTTGATACCAAGTTGAGAGGAAAAAATAGAAATATTACAATATTTGGGTGTCTCCACAACCCAAATCACCTCATTTATAAAGGAAGGTTGTACAGATACATTGTTTAGGGGGAGATGAAAAGATTAACATCTAGAAGATACAATTCATAGATAGATACAACTAATTAATATCAATCTAGTAAATATAAATAGTGTGAATCTAACCGATTTAAACTACATACAGAACAAAACTCAATTATATATACTCAGAATAATAAATACAAGGATCTACCCTAACAACAAATAAATTCTAGAAGTCCCTGGCAATATGGAGCATATAGAATATATGCACCATGCTTGTGACATATGAACTTACCCTAGGACATCTCATTGACTTAGAGAATAAATATTATAGTTGACCATTTGAATTTCAAGTTGGAAATGTCCCCTAATTTATTTTTATGATGTTCTTCTCATTACCAAAAAAATAAAATTTAAAGCCACATGGATTTTTTATTTAGGAGCTACATACTAATTGTTCAAAGACTAATCTCCACGGATAGCCCTATTGCTGGTCATAAAAAGACAAGAATTGCAGATAGTAACTTTAAACACACATATATATAGAAGATGGATCATGTTAATCCAAGAGTAACTTTAAATGAATTAATCTTCATTCTCGTCTTTCATTTTCTTTTAAAACACACTTCCTCACATATAGACATACAAATATAAATATTATTTTTATAACTTTGCATAATATAGTTAGAATTATATAACAATATATGCATTGATTAAAAATATTTATATTTCTTTTTAGTTTATACATACATGCATTTAACAATATATGCATTGCTTAATAATATTTTTATCTTGTTATTATATTATGTCCAATCTGTTAACTTATTTTGTTATTTATTATGTTTTTTTTTCATTACTATTAATAGTTAGCTATTACATTTTTTATTATTTTAATTTTAATATATAATATGCTACCTCATGCAGAGTTGTGTCAATATCCGGCTTCCACCTTAAAAACAGCTAAACAATCCTCCAGATATTGTCACCCTTCAATGGAATTATGGCACGGCCTTATTGCTCCGTCTGTTCTCACGCACTGTTCCCATTTGAGAACACTTCCATCAACCGCGTGATTTGTGTTTAGGTTGATTCATTTTTCTATCTACTAATCATGTTGCCTTTTCTAACAGGGACTTCAATATATTGTCCAATGGCCATTTCTAGTATAATTCCATCTGTGTTGCCACTACGACATGTTAAGTGGAGGTCATACTATATTTCTAGTTCTTAGAATAACCACATGTAGTTCAAGTGCATTCAGTTTTCATTGGAATATGTGTTTGGGAAGTAGAAAATAGCATTGTAAGTTATATCATGAAAAGTGTCATTCACTCAAGCTATTCCATTCCATCTCTGTGAATTCAACACGTAGGAAATTGCTCCACAATAATAGATTGTGCAAAACATGCCAAAAGTAATTCTGGGTGAAATGAAATGGCTTGGCAAGGTGCAATATTTTAAAGAATAATACATAACTCTAACTCTTATTCTAGATCCTCGAGGCCACTATTAGCATGTCATTTGGCTGATATGTAGAATGTAACTAAACACCTAATAATAGAGGAGTGTTGAATAGTAAAACTTCAACTCCAACAAAGAAAAAAATCTTCAATTTTGAAAAAACAAATACTACTTACTAAGAGCATAACGGGTGTTGTCAGCCACAAACTTCTAATAGACTCCACGACTTTTATGTACCTTTTCACACACACACACACAAATATATGTCTATATATAAGAAGAAAATAAGATATATATATATATATATATATATATATATATATATATATAACCTGTGAAAAGTATCATGGTTATCATAAGAAAAATATAATAGATGACAAATGATATATTAGCCATTTTTCCACATTAGCTATATTTCACAGCTATAGACAGTTGAATTGCTCACTCCTTTTAATTAAAAATAATCAACACAAAATTTGACATACCTTTGCACAATCACCTAGCCAACCCATAATGCTCCTTGCAGCCTCAAACATCTCTTCTAAAGCCGTGAGAGTGGTCTAGAAAACAATGACTAATAAGTAAAAAGTAAAATAAAAAATAGAATATATTTAGAAAGTTAACATACAATTCCACTAAATCAAATTTTCATACTTTTGCAGCATAGCAGGAAGCAGCAAACAGCTCTACATCATCCTCAATGGCACAACGCTCCTTTAGCCTCCTCTTTATCTGGTCCCTGGCCCCAATGTAAGTCACTCCATAGACTGATGTCATCACTGTTTGCTTCACCAACTTTCGGTCCACCTAATATTAATTATGATAGTGTTTAGTTTATATAAGTCTAAGGCTGGCACAAATGTAATGTCAGATATAAGGCACTTGTAGTGTAGATAAGTCAACAATGTTGTTGATAATTGGTCTACAAGCTCCTATTCCATCTTCAAATATTCCAGAGGGAAACATTCAAAAAAGAAAATAACTACTTGAAACTTGCAATTAAAAGAAACCTGGCTGATTAAGCGCCTAGCATGCAATGCATTTGGATTAGTTTGGGGATCCTTCTCTGCATCCCTTTTCATGATTTCAAGTACTCTGCAACATATTGCCAGAGTCAAAGACATCAAAACATGTAAATTTATTTCCAAAAGCAACTAAAGTTAGAGAGTATTCATATATAGATCAATAAACAGACAGTAATAATATCTATACCATTATAGTACCACTGCCTGTTTATTGTGTCAATTTTGAATAAGACTATTTTATCTTTTAGCAAATAAAAATAAGTTTATTATTTAATAAAAATACAAAGACAAATTATCTCTCCACTCGAAAGTATCCACCGCAAGTGTTGAATGATTCAAAGGTGTATATGGTTCTCTCCTACTATCAAATTTTTTTGTTTCTCCACACAATCCTTTCAAAATCCATTCTTACAAAATTATCTACTTTTTTTTTAAATTATCCTTGGTTGAAAACTACTAGGATCAAATAGCAAGGTACAGGAATTAATTCCTACATTGAAAGTATGGGATTCCAATATGAAGTTTGTAGGGCTTTGGGATTCCAATATAAGGCCCACCAAGAAGTGCTGGATCGAGGCATGGTGTGGGCAATGGGTTGGATTCAATGGAGAGGTGAATTGCACGCTGGAATTGTTGTGAAAATGATATTGCTCGAGTCAATTGATGGTGTTGTTTGGCATATTGGAGCTGAAATACATGAGAGCACATGAGAACTCCAATGAAGATATAGAGGATAGATCACAATAGGTTGACAAATAGTTCAATGGATGATGGGGTCATCGACAAACAGCATCAATGATAGGAGAAGTTATGGAAAGAAAATAAGTAGCCAGAAGAAGGGTGACAGATGGAGAGGTGAACCAAAGATGTAACAATTTGCCAAAATAATTTGTCTCTAGGACAAGGTTGTCATACGAGTATATATTATGTAAAAATATCAATTTAACAAAAAAATATAAGCAAGATAAAATCAATTCCATAATATTAAAAATATAAACATGATACTATTAATTCTAGCCATTTTAAAATTTAAATTTTTTATATCTAAAATAACCAAGAAAAAAAGAGTAAAAATTAAACCAATAAAACAAAACAAGTTAAAAAAAGTAAATATGAGACCGAACACAGAAGAAAAAAAAATGGAACAAAGATGAATATTGAAGGACCGACCAAGATGTGTTAATCTAAAATGAAAAAAAAAAAAAAAAAAAAAAAAGTGAACACAAATAAGACCAACCAAGGGAATGAGAACTAGAAGATAAAGGGATCATAAGGTGAAAAGCTTTGAGTTGTAGTGAATTGCAAATAGAGGAGAATGGCAACCGCAAACAACAGCGAATAGCGACTACAAGCAAAGACAAACAAGGTGGCAACTGCAAAAGCGAATGGCAAAAGTATGGCAACAGAGAACAAAACGGCATTCTTGCGTGTCGAGTATGTGACAACGGCTAATGGTGGAGAAGGCGAATGGCAAACAGCTTTGTGCAAACTGAACTGAACATCCCAAGTAAATTCGTTTTAGACATTTCACCTCACTCATTCACTCACGACTCGCAAGTCTGCATTGAGTCCACTAAGTCTGATCCGAGTTTGCCCAAAAAATGAGACTACTTATGAGTCAACTTGGGGTCCTACAATAAGCTCTTAAACTTGGAAAGGTTTACAGTTAACCCTAGAGTTTGATAACCATGTTTTAGGGACAGTGGATCAACTGAGCAGGTCTAGTTCACAAGATGTCATTGTCAAGCTTTAAATATCATGCTAAGAAAGAAAAAACAGACATTGAACTAATGTCGTGTGTTTGAATACAGAACGGGTGCAAATAGTATATATAAGCCTATTACATTAAATATACATTAGAGGATATGTAGTTCCTCTACAGCAGAGATTATATGCATATAAAAAGCTACTTTTAGCAAAACTGCAATGTATTGTATTCTGATTTTCAACACTTTCAACACGTTCAACCAACAAAGAATGAACTACTGCCTATATATGCTCAATGACCAATGCAGTTTTAGAAACATTGGTGATAATTACCTGGCAGCAATTCCTGAGTAAACATCAGCAGGCTGGTCTCCACCAACAAGATTGACTGCAGCAGCCCCCAACTTCAAACAAATAAGAGCAGTAAAATTGAGGATCAGGCACGATTGAAAAATAGGGGGGAACTGAAGTAAGGCAATGTTCCCATGCCCAAACTACAAAAATTTAGCCTAATATATGTTAGAATGGATATGCATTCAAATTAAAAGTGATTAACTCAAAGAATCAATGCAGCATGTTGTTATTAAAATTCTTAAAAGTTGACAGCAAATATTCTTATGTGTGCATGGTCAACCTTTCTAAGCATATATATCAAACAACAAAGAAAACTTCTTATCCTCAATACAGTGAAAATGATGAAAGAAATCCAAATGGTTACTGTATAAGGTTCGGTTCACACACACACAACAGCAAATGATGGATGAACTTATTTATGCCCCAAATCTTCAGGAAAACCCCTATCAAGCTGGAATGCAGAACTCAGGCCGTGATAGGATTTTGAAAGATTTCAGCATCCCCAACTTCAACATATTTCAAGAACTACCTCAAAGTCCATATTTATTGAATTTGAGTTAAGTTTCCAGACATTAAAATAAAGGAAAACATTTGAGTAGACTGGTACAAATTCATTAGGTCAAATTTTATTTTTGACAGTTATGAACTGGCTCAATGCATTTCCTTGGTTTCAGTTTCAAGCATGAATCTGGAATTTTCACGCAGTTGAGAAAAAATAAAAAATAAATGTAAAGTTAATAATATTTTAATACTATCAATCAATCTATATTGAGTACTAATGGAATGCAAAGGAGCTTAAAAAACCATTTGCATCGAGGGTTAGTTTATTCTTCAATTTCATTTGGGTCTAACTCAACCACAGAAACTAGGTCACAAAGTGAGGAACGTCCAAGTTTTTATACGCTCTACTTTTGTTATATAGCTACAGTCAATGTGGAATCTCAATCTTCATGACAAGAAACATTCCAACTAAACATTGATTAAACTCCAATAGAAGTCCCACTGGTGTCCAATACAAAAAAAACTTAGACAAACAAAATGAAAATGTGTTCACATTACCTTGTCTCGCCCAAGTGCTGCATAGTGTTGTAAGCCATTGCATGAACCATCCTGGCAAGCATGGTGAAAAATTAAAATGAGAGAAATACTAAAGCATGGATTAGTGGCCTTCAAGCCTCAATGACGTGAATCACAAGGGGTAATTTAGGATCTTTAGGGTTAAAACCTTGTAAGAAATTTAGGAATTAGAAAGAAGGTGGAAGGAAAGAATCACTCTTCCCAAGGGAGGCAACACACAAAGGATGTGACGGTTCTTTGATACAGCCAAGGGTTCTTGAATCACTCAAGAATTTAGGAGAATCACTCTCACTAAGATAAAGAGATAAACTCTAATATTTCTGAATAAAATTTCACTTGTTCTTTCTTGATAAGAATGGTTCAGCTAATATAGAAGCGTTGCCATCAGAATTACAAAAGGCTCAATAAAAGAAAATAAATATTAATAATAACCCATTAATCTAGGAATTGAAAACTATTTAATGGAAACAAATAAAGGCTAATAATGATTCATTAACCTAGGAATTGAAAACTACTTAATGACTGATTGTATCTGAAACTGTGGCAACCAAAAGTCAATCAGCTATGCATCCCTTGGTCTCCCAAAGGCTGATGACTAAATTTTCAATTGGGCCCTTATTACAACTTAAAACAAAATCAAACTAAAGCCCATTAATTGATTAATCCAAAACACAATTTGGTCAACCAACAATACTTGTTGAAGAGCTTCCTTTGTTTCCCTTGCTCTAGCCCTTATCATAGGTCATGTTCACATCATTCTCTCCCTCTTGAAAAGGATTTGTCCTCAAATCGGATTCGTCATCTACATTAAAAAGAGATAAGTCTGACAAATTAAATGTAGAACAAACATTATACTCACTTTTTATGGCTAAATAGCTCTGTTTCACTTCAAGTGTTTCACTCTTCTTTTGATCACTCTTTTTCCTCTCAAGTGTTTCACTAACGCTTTCTTTCTCTCTCTTTTCTTGAAGAAGTTTTTCTTTCATTTTCTTTTTATCCTCACATACTTCTTGTGGACTCAAAGGTTTGAGCACAATCAAATTGCCATGGTCTCCCCAAAATTAAATGACTGACTTCCATAGGAATAATATCATAAAGCACCTTATCATTGTATTTTCCAATGGAAATGTCCACTTCAACTTGTTGTCTCACTTGCACCTCTCCATCCTTACTAAGCCATTGAAGTTTATATGGCCTAGGATGTGGTTTGGTAGCTAAATTTAGCTTTGATACTAATCTAGCACTAGCCACATTAGTGCAACTACCTCCATCTATGATCATCATGCACACCTTGTCATTGATTAAACATCTAGTGTGAAAAATATTTTTTCTTTGGTTTTCTTCCATCGGTTTCAATTGACTATCAAGTAATCGCCTAATCATCAATAAATCTCCCTTTGGAATCTCCTCCTCCTCCTCAGTGTCTTCACTCTTTTCTCCCTCTTCAACCTCATATTCACTTATATATTCTCCCTCTCTAAGAATCATGGTTTTTGTGTTAGGGCACTCATAAGCATAGTGTCCTAGGCCTTGACACTTGAAACACTTCACATCTCTACTTTTTATAGAGGATTGTTCTTCATATTTTGAATGAGTCTTTGTAGGAATAGGTGTGGAACTACTAGAAGTAACAGTCCCATCTTTTTTGCCTTTGTCCTTCCAACTTGAAAATCCAAAGTTGGTAGAACTCTTCTTAGTCACTTCTTTTCTTTTGAGTTGTTGTTCCACTCGAATTGCTTTATGAAGTAAATCCTCCATATCAATCAACTCCTGCAACTCAACAATATCACATATATCAATATTCAAACCACCAATAAATCGGGTCATAGTTACCTCTTCATCTTCTTCAATCTTTGCTTGAATCATGAGCATGTCCATTTCTTTGAAATACTCTTCAACCCCTTTGTTGTCTTGAGTAAGTTTTTGGAGTTTAAATTTCAAGTCCCTTGCATAACTAGCCGGCACATACCGCTTCCTCATGATCCTTTTCATCTCAGTCCATGTATTAACCATTGGCTCTTCATTTCTATCTCTCTCCTTTTGTAGCTTGTTCCACCAAACAAGAGCATAGTCAGAAAATTCTGTTGTTGCAAGTCTCACTTTTTGGGTCTCCTCATAATTGTTGCATGAGAAAACATGCTTTATTTTCATCTCCCACTCCAAGTATGCTTCTGGATCACTTTTTCCTTTGAACGGAGGAATGTTAAGCTTGACTCCTTCAAGCCTACTTGGTCTTGTTACTCCATCATTCATTCTCCTATTTCTCCTTTCTTCTTCGTCTTCAGGATTTCTATTCTCCAACCGGTTCAATCTTTCATGGTGCTCATTGTTATGTCGTATCATTAATCCTTCAAAATGTTGTACCAATACTCTCATTTGAATTGGACTAATTTCTGCTTCTTGATTGTAATTTTCCTCTTCTGCCATCAATTTGATGTTTGAACCCTTAAACCGGAGCTCTGAATACCAAATGATATGAATCACAAGGGGTAATTTAGGATCTTTAGGGTTAAAACCTTGTAAGAAATTTAGGAATTAGAAAGAAGGTGGAAGGAAAGAATCACTCTTCCCAAGGGAGGCAACACACAAAGGATGTGACGGTTCTTTGATACAGCCAAGGGTTCTTGAATCACTCAAGAATTTAGGAGAATCACTCTCACTAAGATAAAGAGATAAACTCTAATATTTCTGAATAAAATTTCACTTGTTCTTTCTTGATAAGAATGGTTCAGCTAATATAGAAGCGTTGCCATCAGAATTACAAAAGGCTCAATAAAAGAAAATAAATATTAATAATAACCCATTAATCTAGGAATTAAAAACTATTTAATGGAAACAAATAAAGGCTAATAATGATCCATTAACCTAGGAATTGAAAACTACTTAATGACTGATTGTATCTGAAATTGTGGCAACCAAAAGTCAATCAGCTATGCATCCCTTGGTCTCCCAAAGGCTGATGACTAAATTTTCAATTGGGCCCTTATTACAACTTAAAACAAAATCAAACTAAAGTCCATTAATTGATTAATCCAAAACACAATTTGGTCAACCAACAATACTTGTTGAAGAGTTTCCTTTGTTTCCCTTGCTCTAGCCCTTATCATAGGTCATATTCACATCATTCTCTCCCTCTTGAAAAGGATTTGTCCTCAAATCGGATTCGTCATCTACATTAAAAAGAGATAAGTCTGACAAATTAAATGTAGAACAAACATTATACTCACTTTTTATGGCTAAATAGCTCTGTTTCACTTCAAGTGTTTCACTCTTCTTTTGATCAATCTTTTTCCTCTCAAGTGTTTCACTAACGCTTTCTTTCTCTCTCTTTTCTTGAAGAAGTTTTTCTTTCATTTTCTTTTTATCCTCACATACTTCTTGTGGACTCAAAGGTTTGAGCACAATCTTCTTGTCTTGATGTATGAAAGAAATCTTGTTGGTGAACCCGTTATGATTAACCCTTTTATCAAATTGCCATGGTCTCCCCAAAAGTAAATGACTGACTTCCATAGGAATAATATCACAAAGCACCTTATCATTGTATTTTCCAATGGAAATGTCCACTTCAACTTATTGTCTCACTTGCACCTCTCCATCCTTACTAAGCCATTGAAGTTTATATGGCCTAGGATGTGGTTTGGTAGCTAAATGTAGTTTTGATACTAATCTAGCACTAGCCACATTAGTGCAACTACCTCCATCTATGATCATCATGCACACCTTGTCATTGATTAAACATCTAGTGTGAAAAATATTTTTTCTTTGGTTTTCTTCCATAGGTTTCAATTGACTATCAAGTAATCGCCTAATCATCAATAAATCTCTCTTTGGAATCTCCTCCTCCTCCTCAGTGTCTTCACTCTTTTCTCCCTCTTCAACCTCAGATTCACTTATATATTCTCCCTCTCTAAGAATCATGGTTTTTGTGTTAGGGCACTCATAAGCATAGTGTCCTAGGCCTTGACACTTGAAACACTTCACATCTCTACTTTTTATAGAGGATTGTTCTTCATATTTTGAATGAGTCTTTGTAGGAATAGGTGTGGAACTACTAGAAGTAACAGTCCCATCTTTTTTGCCTTTGTCCTTCCAACTTGAAAATCCAAAGTTGGTAGAACTCTTCTTAGTCACTTCTTTTCTTTTGAGTTGTTGTTCCACTCGAATTGCTTTATGAAGTAAATCTTCCATATCAATAAACTCCTGCAACTCAACAATATCACATATATCAATATTCAAACCACCAATAAATCGGGTCATAGTTACCTCTTCATCTTCTTCAATCTTTGCTTGAATCATGAGCATGTCCATTTCTTTGAAATACTCCTCAACCCCTTTGTTGCCTTGAGTAAGTTTTTGGAGTTTAAATTTCAAGTCCCTTGCATAACTAGCCGGCACATACCGCTTCCTCATGATCCTTTTCATCTCAGTCCATGTATTAACCATTGGCTCTTCATTTCTATCTCTCTCCTTTTGTAGCTTGTTCCACCAAACAAGAGCATAGTCAGAAAATTCTGTTGTTGCAAGTCTCACTTTTTGGGTCTCCTCATAATTGTTGCATGAGAAAACATGCTCTATTTTCATCTCCCACTCCAAGTATGCTTCTGGATCACTTTTTCCTTTGAACGGAGGAATGTTAAGCTTGACTCCTTCAAGCCTACTTGATTTTGTTACTCCATCATTCATTCTCCTATTTCTCCTTTCTTCTTCGTCTTCAGGATTTCTATTCTCCAACCGGTTCAATCTTTCATGGTGCTCATTGTTATGTCGTATCATTAATCCTTCAAAATGTTGTACCAATACTCTCATTTGAATTGGACTAATTTCTGCTTCTTGATTGTAATTTTCCTCTTCTGCCATCAATTTGATGTTTGAACCCTTAAACCGGAGCTCTGAATACCAAATGATATGAATCACAAGGGGTAATTTAGGATCTTTAGGGTTAAAACCTTGTAAGAAATTTAGGAATTAGAAAGAAGGTGGAAGGAAAGAATCACTCTCCCCAAGGGAGGCAACACACAAAGGATGTGACAGTCCTTTGATACAGTCAAGGGTTCTTGAATCACTCAAGAATTTAGGAGAATCACTCTCACTAAGATAAAGAGATAAACTCTAATATTTCTGAATAAAATTTCACTTGTTCTTTCTTGATAAGAATGGTTCAGCTAATATAGAAGCGTTGTCATCAGAATTACAAAAGGCTCAATAAAAGAAAATAAATATTAATAATAACCCATTAATCTAGGAATTGAAAACTATTTAATGGAAACAAATAAAGGCTAATAATGATCCATTAACCTAGGAATTGAAAACTACTTAATGACTGATTGTATCTGAAACTGTGGCAACCAAAAGTCAATCAGCTATGCATCCCTTGGTCTCCCAAAGGCTGATGACTAAATTTTCAATTGGGCCCTTATTACAACTTAAAACAAAATCAAACTAAAGCCCATTAATTGATTAATCCAAAACACAATTTGGTCAACCAACAATACTTGTTGAAGAGCTTCCTTTGTTTCCCTTGCTCTAGCCCTTATCATAGGTCATGTTCACATCACTCAAGTTCATCAGCATGTATGATCCAGTAAGATACTAGGAAATGTCAGAGCAATACTGTTTTGGGATACAGTTTAAGTATACCAACTTTTTAAAATTCTTCAATTAATAAGGCATTGAATAACTGAAAACCTTGCATTATGATCAAGCATTACCTTATCTTTTTATCCGGGCCTGTTATAAAACCCCAAGCCAGCCAGGGTTTTATGCATCGCCAGGTTTGACTTAATGAAAGCTCAATTTCTTGTACATTGAATGAACAGGACATTGACAGATACTAGTATGCAAGAAGAAAATACAACTATAATATAAATCTAATTTACATGTAATATTGATATTGATTAGATATTTGCCACAACTCCATTTCATAAATTAGCAACGACAAACTTCCAAGATAGGTGTAAACAATCTTAGTAAACACATAAAAAAAAAGTTGCCAAGTGATTTGATTATTATAATTGACACATTAACAAGAGTTATGACCATGTTTTAGTATGTGTTCCTCCCAAAAGGGAAATGGAAATCATGCTTCATCTGCATGAATATATGTCATTCAGATACAACTCCAATTTAAAGGCCTTAACGCTCCTGCTAACAACTCTGTTTCAGAAAAAAACAATTATACTGTTCCATGTAGATAAAAATCTTCAATTAAAAATGGAAGCTGTGTTTTCCTTTTAATATACAATGTAAAATCAGTCAATATATTTTTTCCCAAATAACAATCTCTGACATCATCCCACACAAGGTACCTGGTGTACTGGCATATAAGAAATGGTAGTCTCAGGATTAGGGCTTCTCAATGCATCAGAGAGATTGATGCATGCTGCCAAGCACTGAAAAGGATCCTCTGCTTGCAACCACCAACGTTTCCCTTCAAGAGGCCTGTCTGCAGAATCAATTATATCATCCAGGTGGTTCTCAGTAAATGCTATTCGGCCATCATAAGATAACTTGTCGACACCACCAGCATATAAATTTGCAACATGTATTTTCAACCAGCGCAAGCCTGACTTTCCTAGAGGACGTCCCTCTGCAAACTCCAGTATGCCTCGGCATAAATCAGAACCAAGATGGTTCAGATATGGGTGCATGGGATAAGCTCGCCCTCGAAAATCAAGATTGTGAGGATAATAGAAGCCTTCTTCGTCCTTCATCTTCCGTGCAACCTACAGCCCAAAACCAATGCAATGCATCAATGATGAAGATATGCAACATCCCCTGGAAAGCATTTGATATTTAACTTAATATTTTTAAGTGTAGCAGATTTCTTACCGCAAGTTTAAGTTCTATGTCACATCTCTGTGAATGTCTCTCCTTGTTCTCCTTTTTCACAGCTTTGACTTTCCACTTCCATTTTCGGATTTCTGCTTCATCTTCTGTATCTGGTTCCTCAGGGAGGGGAACCTTTAAGATTAAAAGAGAATTCAATCAAAGTCATAGTCAAAACAGTGGAAGCACCCTTATGTCTTGAGTTAATTTGACTATATGTTCTAAAATTGATATCTAATAGAAACTTTGAACCAACTAATAAAAACCAAGCAAGGGTACTCAGATTTTATTGTAAAAGAATAATGATGCCGATATTAGTAAGTCATCAGATCAGTATAACTGTAGAAGAATAAAATACAAAAAGTAAACAAAGGCAATGCACTACTTCATGGGACTGCTTCATCACTGCCCAAATGTCCCAATTTTGTCACTCAATGACTAGATACCCCAATTAGGATTCTCCCCTCCCTTATATCCTTGCTCCCCTACGTTTTCCCCCCTTTCACACAAACCTCGCTACATTTGTAAGTTACCACTCCCTCTTTGTTCTCTTCTCCGTTACTCTTTAATTAATCAAAAACGTAAAATAAGACGTATTTATTGATCAATACATATTAAACTCTTGCATTCAATAAAAAAGAAAATTCATATGCATGTTTCCAAGAAAGAAAAAGAAACCTGTACTGTTGTGCTGGAAGCTACTCTACTAGAAGATCATTTCTTCCAGTTGAGTGAACCAAGTTTTGAGAGAAACTAGGAATTAAATAAAATTTAGCAACAAGGTTTGTTTATTACTCACATCTTCACGATCCACCAAGTCAGCCAGGCGTCCACCATTAGCCCATATTTGATCTATCACACACAGAACCCTTTTGTTTACCCTCCATTTTGTATTGCCAAGGGTATTAAGGGCCTAGTAACAGAACAATACCAGGATTAATTTCAACAACTATTAGCCATGAACAGACTTACAAAAGCACATAATTTTACAAACGAATATCCAAACCTCAAAAACAGGATCAAGTTGACCCTTGGAAGCCCTCTTAACTGCTTCACGTTGCTGCTTAGCTCCATGAATTCTCATCACATACGATGGCAAAAAAAAGTATGCTCCTTTGTCATACCTACAAAAGATGTTGCAATAAGCAAAACTAGTCATAACTCAATCCAAAGTGGCATGTTCTTATCATATCAATCAGCAAAGTAATTAGATGATTGAACTTGCTCATATGATTTAAATTATACTATAATTGTAGGTATTATACAAGGCAATTAAACTAAAGACAAAATGGAAGAAAAAAAGATAAATCATTACAGTAAAAAATCGAAATGTATAAACGTCTGCAGTACCCTGTCCAGTTAATAGGTGGCACCAACATTGGCATGTAGGGGATGACCATGTGCCTTGCCTATCAATATAAACACATTTTCATGCTAGCATCAATCTCATGAAAGTAAGCATGCAGTATAGGTGAAAGTAAAAGACCATAATAATTCTGCTTCTAATCTACTTAAAGAAAAGGGGACATGCATTAAAGTAGAAGCATTCCCTAGAATTACTTACAGACTTCTCAAGGCCATTTTGAACCAGAGGATCGCATTCAATAACACCATATCTCCTAGTTTCCTTCCTATTAAGTAGAAAGCATCGATTGTTTAGGAATGAAAAGGAAGCATTCAAATTTATAGATATTGATTGTGGAAGAGTGCTATCAATCTCACTGTAACTCATTTGAAAGTGTTTTAAGGGAATGCTGAAATGCTGGGCGAATATCTGGTGGACCATCTCCAAACTGATTGGCAGGTGGTTGAATATAAGCTGTTTCTATTAACAGTTGAATCAATCGAGAGCCGACCTGGATGTACAACAAATACATTGTAATACAAACAGAAGAAACTTTCGATGTACATAGTTACAAGTACAAGCATCACAGACCTTTGCTTGAGCTTCTTGCCCCCAAGGTTTCCAATCATCTTGTCCACGAACTACTCCTATCGCCTGTTGCTTCTTCTGTTTTTTCATCAAAGCAGCAACTCTTTTCCGAAGCTTGTTCTGCTTTTTCTCCATTTCCTCGTTCTCTTCACTCACTTTTCCTCTTTGTCCTGAAGGAGCAAGATGAGATGATTTATCAGGGGCAGTTCTCTTCTCCCTCTTCATAAATTGGTATATCCTAGCCTGATCCACATACAAGGGTAGAATTTTAGTTAAGAACATTGCCAAGTCAACATAGTAACACCCAAGTTGAACAATAGAAACCGAAAATAATCCCACTCTTCCCTTAACCAAAGCATGAGTATTTGAGGCAACAAAACAAATCTGTTTTATTGAATTGTGGACAAATAAATAGATAGATTTATATACCTCATGTTCAACAGCTTCACCTACTTGACAAGCGGCTTGAATGACTCTGGCGGTGCCCACGCCATTAGAATTGGTCATCAACAGGGCCATCAACTTGTGCATGGTGACCACAGCCATCATGTCCGCGGGCAAGTGGTTGAAATAAGGACCGTGGCTCAATCGGCACTTGCTCCCTTTGCAAAGCTCTTGATCGGCGAGAATCGCATTCTTTAGGGGCTCGAACCAACCAAGGAAGAGCGACTTCATGTAAGGCAAATTGGGAGCAAGCTTCTGCTCCCGCATGTCCTCCAGCAGCTCCTCGTACTCCCTTGCGGCATCTTCCCACGCCTCCGTCTCCATCTTTATCTGCCTCCTCTTCAGCATCTTGTATTTGTAGCTGCTGCAATCCAACTTCTGTTCCGCCTTCGCCATTTCCTCCAACAGTTTCCGAACCTCGTCGTAATCATCTTCGGTGTCCGTCGATTCAACGGCCTCGGCAACCGTGGCGTGACCCCTTCCCACCACCAACAACGACGGAGAAGAAAAACCTTCGTAGAAAAGAAACGAGGACCGACTCACCCCGACTCTAGCGAAACCCTGACATGGGTATGGGTTTAGTTTTGTACTTGTTTGGGGCTCAATAAACCTCGGAGATAAAGAATTAACGCGGAAGAAGTTGTTCCTTAGGGTTGAAGAAGCTCGCTTGGCAAATTTGGTCCACATTTTGAATATGAGAGATGGAGAAAGAAAAGCAAAATGTTATGGAGTTTTAGTTAATTGTTCAAAGATCTGTGCCGAACACCAGCCTGCCAGCCGCCTCTAAACCCTCCATAAAACCTATCACGTTTTCTCCTTCCGGTATGCTTTTCAAACCGGTCCTCGGGTTTCGGTTTATCCCTTTTTCTTTTCGGATCTTAATGTATAACAATAAAAAAGTCCAATTTTAAGGATATTCTATTCATGTTCAACTCAAAATTAAAATCTTAATTATTCTTCACTTATAAAATTCTGTATTGTTTTTTTTTAGAATTATGGTACCCGAAAATCATTAATCTGAAAATTATGATGAATGACAAGTTTTTACTTAGTTGATGAAAAGTGTTTCAAACATATTTAGATAGCCTTTTTAGAAATCAAAATATAGTTTGTTACTTTATTCACAAGTATTATTTTTATCACAAAATATAATTTAATGAAATTAATATGGTATTTGTTTGACTTTAAATTTTATTTTTTTTGGTGAAAAAAACATAATTTTTCAACTTTATAAGGATAATTGTATTCATGTATAAAAAATTAGTATTAGCTTAAAACTAATCATAACCAAATTCAATGTTGATGATGTATTAAATTTTTTTTTGCTATTTATTAAGAAAAAAATTATGAAATAAAATTTTAAATATAAATTTAATATATATATATATATATATATATTAAATTATTTCATTATTTTATTTGATGGGATTATATTTGGTTTAAATGATAATCTTTGCATTTATAATATAAGTAGAATTTCAACGAGAATAACAAGTCTTAATTAATTTTATTTCTAGTAATTATATAAATATATTAATATTGTTCATATGGAATTAGTCATTATATTTATTAATTATTATATATTTACTGAATTATAATGATTATATATATAACATTTAAATTTATAATTAATTTCGTTGAAAATTATAATTTAATTGATTATTTTAATATAAATTAAGTTTTAATTAAATTTATTATTATATTATTTAATTAATTATGAATTTATTTTTATTTTTATACATCCAATCATCAATGCAGTCACTAATCTTATTGTCAATTAAATGAGTAATGACATTCTTTTTTTAAGATGACATGATTTGTGTAATAAAATTTTATAAAAAATAATTATGTTTTTTTTAAAGTTGATTGTTAGGAAATTTGAAGATACAATTACAATATTTAAAAAACTAATTTAATATCTCATATATTTTGTCAATCATAATAACATGTTAATTAGATGTCCTAATTTGGATTTTAATGTTATAGATAGCTTGGAGATAATACCACCAACTATTATATAGATGTCTTCTCTATTTATTTATTTATTTCTTGTCATATATGTTGCTGAGGGCGTGGTTTCTTGCATTTATTTTGAGGTTTACCCTTAAATTAATTTGGATTAGTGTTTACCTTGGTAGAATCCTCAACTTGGACCAACATTTTTTTTATGAACAAAATTGGTCAAAGCTTTGAATCACGATAGATCCTGAATTATATCTCATAGTTTTATGAATTAAATTGTATGTCCAATGTTTTGGTGGAAAATGCAATGCATTGTTCGAATGAGGTTCTTGGTGGAGTACCTAATTCAGGTTTAAAGTTTTTTGTATTACCACTTCTCTGCAAGTGTTCAATGGTGTGTATAAGTTTTACTACGTGTTTGCTTAAAATTATGATATTGTTAATTAAAATTGTTGATATTCTAACATTTACTTTCTTTCCCAACAGAATGCTTTCTTCAAGTTGTATGTTCTTAGTAAATCATGCTCGCAACTAGTTCATGTCTTTTTAGACTATCCATGTATTTGTACGAACCATTTATAAAAAAGCTAGTACGTAGTCATGTTATCATTATATGTTATATGTATGGCAACCTCGCTGTTGAAATTGTATATTTTGAGGGATACATCAAAAAATCTCTTTATATATTTATTATTATTATTATTAATTAATTTTAATATTATATTACATTTTTGTATATTTTTAATTAATTATTAATTTTTAATATATTTTCATAAAAAGAAAATAAATAATTTATATATATAAATTATTGTCTAAATGGTACATTTTGATTAAATATTTTTCACAAATGATAAATTAAAATATATATATATATAAACAATTTTATTTTTAAAAATTTTGCTCAACAAATCATTGTTACCGACGGTCAAAATCGGTCGGTAATATTTTTATTATTTATTAAATATTTTATTTATATATATATATTTATTATTTATTATTAATTATTTTTCCTTATTTATTATTTATTATTAATTATTAAATATATAAATATAATTTATTTGTAAATTATTATCAAAAAATTATGGTAATTTAGTGGTTGGAGTATCAGACTCTACTTCTAAGGTACTGGGTTCGAATATTGCCAATAACAATTCTCTTAATCTAATAATAATTAAAGGCTTTAAAAATGTAATAAGGAAAAACAATAAATATATATATAAATAAAATATTTAACAAATAATAAAAATATTATCGATAGATTTTGACCGTCGGTAACAATGATTTGTTGAGTAAAATTTTTAAAAATAAAATTGTTTATATATATATATATTTTTTAATTTATCATTTGTGAAAAATGTTTAATCAAAATGTACCATTTAGACAATAATTTATATATATAAATTATTTATTTTCTTTTTATGAAAATATATTAAAATTTAATAATTTATTAAAAATATACAAAAATGTAATATAATATTAAAATTAATTATTAATAATAAATATATAAAGAGATTTTTTGATGTATCCCTCAAAATATACAATTTCAACAGCGAGGTTGGCATACAATTCTTTGATGTATTCCTTATATATTTATATTTATATATTTATATATTTATATATAATTAAATATTTATTTTTTAAAATTATTTAATTTAAGAAATTATTATAAATTAATCTAATTATGATTAAATTAAATTATTAAATAAAAATATTTAATTTTTTAATTAGGTGAATATTTACTATTTGTTAATTTACCGATCGAAAATATCCGTCGGTAATTTACAGATGAATTTACCGATGGATAATTAATTGTTAATTTATCGACAGATATACAGACAGATATATCCGTCGTAAATTCATCTGTAAATTACCGATGAATTTATCGACGGATATATCTCGTCGGTAACTAATTATTATTTTACTGACGGATATATCCGTGAGTAAAATCAAATTCCACAAATATTTTATATCCGTTGATAATTTCCGTCTGTAATAATTATTTTCCGACGATTATAAATCCATCGAGTAAATATTCGTTGGTAATACGTGATTTTCTTGTAGTGTTAATCGTCAAGGCTAAGTGTGGCCAAATAAATATATCATATGCATAGACACTATTCAAACTTTAATTTATATAATTATGTATCTATGGACTTTTGAATGATTTTGTACGAGTTGTATAAGTTTCTTGGTGTATAATTAAATTTAAGAAAATCGAAAGATATAAGTTAAATTTAATTTTTCAAGTTTTAAAACTACTTTTCTCTCTTTTTGTAATGGTTCTCTGTGTTTTTGTAAAAAAATCTTTTAAGTTTATCAATAAAACATATTTTGAATCTAATTTGTTTTATCTTTAACTTCTTTACTTGTTTTTTTGGTTTACATTTTCTACTTCTAATTTTACTTGTTTTTCTTCATATTTTACGCTTTAATTATGTTCTAATTTATTTTAGTAGTTAATTTACTGATTAAAACTTATTTTTATGGTTTAAATTTAGTTTTGGATGATTTTAATAAGATATAATTCATTACAATTAACATAATTAAATTTATTTGATTAAATGTTTTATTTTACATTATAATTTAATTTTTAGGTTTAACTGAGTATTTAATTTAGTAAATGAGTCGTATTTACTTATTTTACTTAAATTGTAATTGTTTAAAATAATCGTGAATTTATTTTTATGATTGCAAAATAAACTCTATAAATCAATAATAATAATAATAATAACAAGTTTATTATTAAAGAATGAACTTTTGTTTAAGATTGATTTTCTTAATTTTTTTTAGAGTAGTTTACAATTGAATGAAATTTATAACATTTTTTTTATAGTTTAAATTTATGATGTTTCATTTACAAACTTTAAATTGCAATTTTATAGAATAGTTTTTTTTTTATAGGAAATAAATTTCATTATTTTTTTCAATTACATTTCTAGCATTTAAAACTCCAAAACTCACTCTCTCCTAATATTTTACAAGTGAGAATCAAAATTAAAACAATATTAACAATTTCTTCCTAAGGACATGACCTAAGTCAATTATACCACTTATTATTTCATTGCAAATGTTATTTGATAATATCTAGATAACAAGATAAACTTTTATCAATGTTCATGTAATTTGTTGTAAATTGAGCTTTGAATATATGAAATAAAGTTTAACGAATACATGATGAGTATTGATAATATTAAGTACTATAGGAGGATTACTCATTTTAGTGTTATAATGAACACTTCACAAGTGATTATTCTACTACTAAAATAAAGATCAAGATTACATATATTTATCAATATACCCTTTATTATGATTTCTAACCCATAGGTAAATATATGTTCATAGTCTCATATGTGAAGGATGTTGTGAGATAGTGGAGATTTAGTTGACTAAGATGAAAATTGTTATCCAACAAATTAAGAAAATGTATAAAAGTAGATAATTACTTCTCATAAATCATGTTTTTACTTTTAGTGGTAAAAATAGCTAATTTTGGTGAGGTACTTGATTAGTCTTTAAGAAAATAATTGTAGTTTGATAAAGAGCTAAAATATTAAGAATTAATTTAGTTTTGATGAGGTTAAATCTTTTATTCAAAATGTGTAGAGCTACAATTTCGAAACTTATTTCAATATTATTGTATGAATATCTTTTTTTTTTTACAATCTTGAAAAATCGTTATTTTTAAATTATAACATCTCCTTACAAAGTTTCATATTCTTGTGTTATTGTTATTCATGCATATACGTGTCAAGTCTTTTCCTCGTCTCTCTTGGATATAAAATTTAAAATTATTGATGAGTGATGACCTTTTAATATATTTGGACTTCTGGTAAAAAAAAAAAACATCAACTTCTGTGGCTTAAAAAAATTACTTAAATATTTAAATATTTTTACTAAAATCAAATTTGATTAAGGTGTTAATAAAATAAATTTTCTAATACTCAATCATGTTTAAATTAATAAACCATAAATAACATATTAAATAAAATGTGATTATAATTAATACAAGAATGAATTAAAATGAGTTTTCCTAATTTATTAATATTTTTATATATTTTAATAATTTTATTTGTTGAGTTGATGATAAGATATTAAGTATTATGCTGTTATTGTACTTGAACATAATATTAAAATATAATAAAATATAGATAAATTAAAATTATTTATTCATTTATAATAACTAACTTTTAAGGTTTTTAAATTATGCTTTAAATATATTAAATATTATTTTTTAAGTTGAATATTTAGAAAGACAAGAATATTTTATAAGACTTCGAAACCTTAATTATCTTATTTATTTTGACAGGATGCACAGTCATCAATTGATATTATATATATATATATATATATATATATATATATATATATAAAGGTATAAAATTAACATATTGTCTTATTATTATTTTAAAATATATGATAAAAAAATTAGTTTATTTTTCTCTTGATATAATTTTTTTTTATAAATTATATAATAAAAAATAATATAAATTCATATTAATTAGAAATATAATAATATTATATTATATAATAACATATAAAATAAATATAATTCTCACAACCTAAGATTAAATTTAGTATTTTGAAAAATAATATCATAATATATAATATCGAGAAACCATGTCTTAAAAAATAATAATTATATAAACAAATATTTTAATAAATTAGCAACACCTTTATATTAAAAAAAAAAAATCAATGCGTTAAGAAAAAACATGTGAGGATGTTGAAAAAAAAACTTTTGTTGTATTTATATAACTTATTATATAATTTATTATTCTCTATTTGTTATGAATTAACATTAATTAATAAATTAATTATTTGTAATTATCAATTATATTATATATAATTATTATTTTATAAATAATAACTTAATTTGAATTTCGGATGAACAAGTACGTGATGGGTTGGATGATTTAAAATCAATTACTTATTAAGAGATTCCTGATTTCTACTAACATGGGTATAAAACTCATATTCCATTAGTCAATTTTAAGAAAGATAATGTAAAAACAATTTTCACACAATACGTTCAATAATAACCTATCAAAAAGAGAGCAATATTCTCTCATTCACATTCTATGGATCCTTCAACGATTTTAGGTACACAATCTTTCTACTCTCTTGAATATATTATGTTTATTGTATCTTATATTGTTATGCAAATTAATCAATTGGTATCAGATACAAAATATAATTGTTCATTGTTTTTTTTGGAGAATATATCATAAATTTTAATAATTGTTCATTATCAAAAGGTATGATAATTGGTAAATTTAACTTTCTAGTTTAAGTTCCTGAATCCAGGATTTTTGGCGTCGTTCGCACTCGCGGAGGTCACCAGTAATGGTTTGCTCACGATAGTGCAATAGCGAAAGGACACATTGCGGTGGTTGTTCATGGCGGTGGAGAAACGACGTTTGAGATGTTTCTTGGTGGCACAGAGTGGTTCGTCGCGGCGTTGGTCTCTCCATCGCAGTGGCACGCAGCGACCTACGTTGGTCACTCCGTCGAGACGTGCGTCGTCTCTCGTGGAGGCGCGTCTGGTTCTCATGGTGGTGAGTCGTTCGTTCATGGTGGATCTGTGTTTTGTGCCACTGGTTGACAACAGCGATGACGTAGTGGCGATCGGTGCACGTTTTCAGCGACTAAACGACTTTCGTTTTTCGTCGCCAATGACATCATTGGTGATTCACTACGTTCGTGCATGTGCAGTTTCATGGACATGGTTTTGCACATTGTGTTTTGTTCGAGTTGCATGGAAGAGTATCGGGGTTGAACGTGGGTAATTCTCGCCACTTACATTGAAAATTCAACGTTGAATTCAAATAATATATTATTTTATTTCTATAATTATATATATATATATATATATTATTTTATTTCTATAAAATTATATATATATATATATATATTAATAGGAAAAGATGAATATGAAAACAAATGGTATATTATTATGTTTTTCTTAATTTGAATCATAATAAAAAGACGAAGAGAATTGAATTTTATGTTTTAGAGCTGATTTTTTCTCTTTATCTCTTTTTTTGTTTTTTCTCGGGGCAACATGAAACAACCAAGTATTATTAAAACACATAATAAAAATAAATAATAATAATAATAACTATTATTATTATTATTATTAATTCATGCATCATATAATTTTGTTTGTTAAGCATGATATAATTTTATATGATTGTGAACTCACCTATTGTGGGTATGGTTGTATAAAATTTTGTGAAAATAAAATGATTTAATTATTTTATTTTATTTTATATTACATTAATATTAATTATGTCCTATCGATATTTTATTATTAATGTTTTTTATTTTTTATTTGGTACAATGCAATTTTGAATATTATTATGTCAATTACTTGTCTTGTACCCTATCGATATTAGATTTCTTGTGACATGAGATGTGCATTGTATTTTTATTTTTTATTTTAAATATATTTCTTATTTATTATGATTCTGGACCCTTAGGCGGGGTCATAGTGAATGAGAAATTTGGCATTATAGACATGTTTTGTTGTGTATTCGGATACATTTATTTTGTTTATTTGTACAATAATTGTGTGTATTAAATGTTTCTTCGTTATTTTGATACCAGCTCCTTTGTCTATGCAATTGACTTCGGTCAAAACTTTAAATGGGACAATTTTTGAGGATTGGAAAGAATTTTTGGATTTGTATTTGGCAATTACCAATATGGACCTTTGTTTGAGAGAGAACGAGTTTTCAGCTCTTACTCCTGAGTCCATTATGTTGGAAAAACAATTAATAATAATAATAATAATAATAATCCTGATTTTGATTCTAACAATCAAACATAAACATAATCCCATACCGATAAACATGTTGTAAACTCGAATGCGAAAGCGTACTCGAAATAGCCATAACGATGATGTCTTTGTAGAGCACTATATTGATCTTATGGTCTTCCACCGAAGAGCACCTGTATTTCCTTCTTGATTTTCTCTCTTGATGGGGATAGAAAGAAAGGAACGGGACCGATACTTACGTTCGTGTGTGTGCTCTCGAAGGGGACCATGACCCTTTAGATAACCGAGAATTAGGTTAATTACTTAAGTTTTAGTATTTCCAATTTGGCCCCTCATCAAATTAGAAATTGTTCTATGGTCTCTACACAATTTTATTTTCATGACATATGCTTTTAGCCAAAACTTTAATTTAGTCAGATCACTTTATTATTTGGCTTAATAAATAATGGCCCTAACACATTTAAATTATGTATCATATATATACATGACCCAAATTTTTCCAACAATCTCCCACTGGTCACAAATATATATGTCCTTACAACCTTACAAATGTGTTAGACTTTATGAGCTCAAAAATGCCATTATATTCCTTTAGCATACTCCAAAAGTCCTGTCCATTAATCATATTAGGATATAGAACCAAACCAGCTTTTCATTGCATCATCGCAACTAAAACCAACAATGATTACTCATCCTAACATAACCAAATGACATGGATTCATCATGAAATGTGTAGCATGAAAAATTACGTGAAAGTGATTTGTACACGTCTATTTTCAACTGGTCCAAACTTTAAGTTATTGAGATCGATATAATATCCTTAATGTACAAAGTGTAATGAATGAACGAAAAAACCGCATATCTATAGATAACCAAATATGTCCAAAAAAACAATGTATACATATATGAAATTAAACATAGAACATAAAATATATGAAAGTGACTAACTCCCACTAAACCACAAATTCCTCAAACCGTAAAACACCCATGTGAGCAAAATGCTCATGAAAGACCTTGGGCGTAAGTCCTTTAGTCGGAGGATCTCGGTATCATGGAGTTTGTCCTTAAGTGTTCTATGAAAATCAGTCCACTTTGTACTCTTTCCTTAATAATACAATTGATTTATTGTCACAATATAACTTAAGTGGTCTTTCAATGCCTTTCACAATTTGCAGCCTCGTGACAAAATTTATCAGCCCATATTCCATGATTTGATACCTCATAGCAAGTTACAAATTCTCGACATTCTACAAAATCTCGAGTCGAAAACCCAGCGATCTCCAACTCGGTTTGACCTTCTATATGTGAGCATATAATCTTTTGTTCTCTTTAAATATCTTATGACCCTTTTTGTCGCTTTTCAATGGTCTATTCCTGGATTGCTTAAATATCTCGCCTAGAACCCCAACTATATATGCTATGTCCGGATGCGTACATACTTGGGCATAGATCAAACTCCCTACAACCGATGCATAGGGAATCTTTTGCATTTCCTCAATTTCCAAATTCCCTTTGGGCACTGATTGAGACTAAACTTGTCTCCCTTTAAACTTGTGATACATACAATCATCAACAATATTCATCTTGAAGCCAAATGAGTTTCATACCTTCTGGTAATGGGACAAGTTCCCAATAACCTTATTGTCTTGCATGGACTTATACTTATCCTATTGCTTTAATCCACTTTTGAGAGTTAGAACCTTGTATAGCTTGACGGAAGTTAACTGAGTCATCTTCCATTATATCATTATTTTCCTCATGTTCCTGAAGAAATACCATGTAATCATCTGAAATAGCACTTCTTCTTTCTCTAGTGGATCTCTGCAAAGTTATTAGCTCATGATACACAGGTTCTTGAGGATCTTGAGTTTGTTCTTCATGAACAACCAAATCATCTTGAGTAAGGGGTTCATCAACAATGCCTTGTGGAAGTTCCGAACTTACTTTATCAAAAGTAACTATTTGAATCGGTTCTGAAATTGTAACCGATTCTTCCTCCAAGATGAAATTCTTAATCTTATTCTTCCCCCAAACTCAATATCCTCAAAGAACGTAGCAGTTCCCGTCTCAAAAATTGTCTTTAATGTGGGATCATAAAATATATATCTCCTGGATCTTTCAGCATAACCAATAATATAACTATTTACTGTTCGGGAGTCCAATTTCTTTTCATTTGACTTATAAGGTCTTGCCTCAGCTGGACAATCCCACACATGGAAATGCTTCGGACTAAGTTGTCGCCCAATCCAAAGCTCATAAGGTGTTTTGGTAGCTGCTTTAGTTGGTACTGCTGTTAGAATATAAGTTGTCATATTTAGTGTCTCTCCCCAAAGTGATTCCAAGAAGGTGGAATGACAAATCATACTCTCTACCATATCTTTAAGTGTGTAACACAAGTCCAAACGTCACAATTTGATTGTGACCTGAGCACTTGTACCGTAATGCACTTGAGTGAGTATTTTCAATTTTACGTTTAGTACCACGTGATTCTGTATTAAGGGTTTCATTATAGGTGGCCACAATATCAAGTAAATATTGATTATCATAAATTAAAAGTGAACCAGTTCCAACAATATCTGAATTAAAAGACAAACTGAACTTATTGTTTCCAAATGAACATAAATAACCTAATTTGTCCAAATAAGAAACTGAAACCAAATTCCGTCTAAATGACGGCATAACAAAAGTATCTTTCAAATCCAAATAAAAAATCAGTACTTAATAATAATTTAAAATGACTTATAGCTTCCACCTCTACCGATTTGTCATCTCCAACATAAATCCATCTTTCAGAATCAATTGGCTTCCGGTAGTTTAGGCAACCCTTTCTTTTCACGCCAAGCATGATATTTAGCACATTTCTTCTTTACGTGTCCAATCTTATTGCAAAAGAAATATTTGTTTTCTTGAGTTTGTTTCTTTTGTTCTGGACCCTTAGCACCTTCTTTCTTGAGATCCTCTGATCTCTTTCTTTTGCCTTTAGCCTTGGAGGTGCTTGCAAAAAATGAGCACTTTCTGTCTTGTCTTGTTTTAGTCTTTCCTCTTCTTGTACACAATGTGAAATGAGCTCATTAAGAGACCATTTATCCTTCTGACAGTTGTAAGATACCTTAAATTGATTAAACGTTGCAAGAAGAGAAATCAACACCAAATGAATGAGCAAGTCTTCTGAGAGTTCAAGCTTTAGTGCCTTGAGTTTAAAAACAATATTAGACATGCTCATAATGTATTCTCTGATATTTCCTTTGCCTTGATATATCATGGAGATCAAGTTCTGAAGAAGAGTGCTTGTCTCCGCCTTATCGCTTTTTTTTTTGCAAAGCGCTGCTCAATTTCAGCAAGGAATTCTTTGGCACTTGTGATGTTTTCAGAAACAGTGCCCCTAAACACCTTCGGGATGCCACGCTTAATGATCATTAGACTCATGCGATTTGAGCGATCCCACTTCTCATAATCTCTTTTTTGTTCAGAGGTACTTGAATCCGTAAGAGTAGGGGTTTGCTCTAGTCCTTAACGCAAAATCCATATCCATGCAACCAAGAACAATATCAGTGTTCTCTTTCCAGATCCTTAAAATTTGTTCCATTGAGGACCGGAACAGAATTTAAATTGGCGAGATACGTAAACAATTGTAGCTGAATTTAGAACACGAGAAATAAACTAATTATGCTCACATTATATAAAAAATAAATAATATATATTCAAATAAGTGGTTTAACCCATCTCAAGATACCCAATGCACCATCAATATCAAGTCTTTGGACAGTAATATT